TTGTTAGAAATGCAGAATTTTCAGTCTCCATCCCAGATCTATTGATTTAGGAATTCTTGGGGTGGAGCCCAGCAATCTGTGTTTAACAACAACCCTCTGTCCACACCAGAGTTTGGGAACCTCCAGCCTATAAAGACGTGCATGATCTGGCTTCTGCTTGCCTCCTTGAATTAACCCTTTCCTCTTGCTCCCTCTGCAGTGACCTTCCTCTTGTGCAAATGTGACAAACTTGTTTCCTTCTCAGGGGCTTTAAATGTGTTGCCTCTGGTTGGCACATTCTTCTTCCAGACCTTAGTTGGGCTGTGTCCTCACTTCCTTCAGATAGTTGCTCGGTTGCTCAAGAGCCCTCTGACTGCATAGTACAGAGAGGAGGGCTCCTGTGCTGGGTGTCTTTTTTTTGCCCCTCTGCATTCACTTTTCATCTTCCTCCATCCTGCTTTTGTGCCTTAGGAGGTTGACTTCTCTAAATTGCATCAAGCGCTTCCTTTGCCATCTGGTAGGTAGTTGGGTTTGTCCAGTGGAGAATAGTGGGTGGACATGAGAGGGAAGGAGCCAGGTTGTGGTGTTTATTTTTTTGGCTTCCTTCCTGTGGGCTGGCTGTGCCCTTCTCCACATAGCTTTCTTTCTCTCTCTTTGAATTTTGTACTGCCTGTAGTATTGGCTGTTTAGTAAAGATTATTTCTACATTAGAACAGAGACCATATAGTAGATGATCTATAAATAATGAATGAAAATAATGTTGAGACAGAGGTAGAATGACGGTAGCAGAATGTAAGCTGAAGAAATGAGAGGACAACACACTGTCATTTGAGAGTATATAGCTGTGCTACGTACTACATGCCATACCATTTAGCACTACCTGCAACAAAACTGACCGTGAAAATAAATCAGAGGTGAGATGATGGATTGTGGGCAAACTGTTGCTCTAAAAGACAGAACTGGAGGTAGTGAAACACTTGGCACCGTGTGGTCCAGATTCAGGAGAGTCTTTACCTGTATGCTCTTGAGGAAGGGACTCAATCTTGGTTTTGCCATTTAATAGCTGTGTGACCTGGGTGAATTACTTAAATCCCTCTGTGCTTCAGTGTTTTCATCTGTAAAATGCAATCACATTTGCAAGATTTAATACTTAGTGCATGCTTGTTACATAGCAGGCACAGTTCTAGGTGCTGAGTATACAACACTGAACAAAGACAAAACCTTTGACTGTATGGAGCTTACTTTCTAGTAGGAAAGGCAGATAATAAAAATGAGTTAAATAAATATACCATATGGAATGTTAGTGACTGTGCTAAGGAGGGAAATAAAGCAGAAGAATGGGCTAGGGTATGTGTGTGTGTGTGTTTGGTGTTGGAATTCTAGGTAGGGTTCCTAGGTAAGGCTTCACTGAGAGAGTGACATCTGAGTAAAGGTGTGATGGAGATAAGGAAGTAAGAGTTATACTGGCATACAAAGAAGAACATTCCAAATAGAGGAACAGCAAGTACAGAAGCTCTCACGTGGGAACATGCCTGATGTGTTTGACGAACAGCAAAGAGGATGCTGATAGAGCACAGAGTGAGGGGGGATTAGAAGGAGATTGGGGCCAGATCATGACTACGGCAGACCTTGTAAGCTGCTGTAAAAATGTTTACTTTTACTCTGGTACCTAGTAAACATTTACTAAATAGTAGCTCTTAGGGAACTTTTTTTAAAAAAAATTAATTTTAATTTTAAGTTCCAGGATGCATGTGTAGGACGTGCAGATTTGTTACACAGGTAAACGTGTGGCTATTGGGGAACTTAAAGACTCATTTTGAAGATGAGGATGCTGAGTTTCAGAGAGGTGACATTACTTGCCTAAGGTAGTCTAACTAATTATGAAGTATTCTGGAGTTTGAACCAGATCTTCTGCCTAGGAATCGACAAAAATACCATGTTGCTGGGCCAGCATCGCATACTGCTATACAATTACTAAAATCACCACAGAGCTAATCTCCATACATGATAGGTAGAAATGGGGTCAACTCATACACGTACTGTTGATACTGGTGTTAAACCTGTGGGAAAAGTAACCATAAATAGAACACATCTGTCATCATTCTTAATTATACTTTTAAATAAATGAAGCTGTTGGTTTTCCAGAAAGTAAAAGATCAGATCTCTGTTAAAGTGTGGGTAACTGGTTAAATGGAGCATTTCCTAATATTTTCTTTCTATAAAGCACAGCTTAAAGAATAGAGGATAGATCAGAAGAACAGAATTGTACCCTTACCTTCCCATTTCAGTAGGCAAGTAGATCACTTATCTGAGTCTTTTTCTTCATTTATAAAGAGAAAGTAACACCTGCTGTTTATCTGAGAGTTGATGTAAGTTTCTGAGATAACGTGTTTGAAAGATGAAGTTTAGGGAGGTAAGGTGCTATCTCACATAATAGGCTTTTATTTGTTGATAAGGTGTGTGTTTAGCATATACTCTGTATTTCCAGGATTTCTGTAACTTAACACCTCTAAGCCTCATGTTTACAATGAAAAGTTACTATTTTCTAAGTGATAAACTTCAAAGCAAGTTTTCCTGTTGGTAGAGAGTATGGAGAGGTAGTATTTAATGCTAAAATGTACGTTATTTGTCTCCATCACTGAATATGCTGTATACTTTGGGAGCAGCAGATGAGTGTAATTCTGTGCTTTGTTATTTTTTCAATGATTTAGTCAAGCCTTTATGAATTTTGTGTCATAATTTTGAGTGCTGCTTTGTTGCCTAAGTTGAACCCTAGAACTATGTACCTTTATGTAGTCAAAATGTGAAAAACCTGAGATAATTAGCTTGAAAGCTTCTGAGCTCATATTGGGAAAGTCTACAGTGTTGTTTTTTTTTTCCCCATTAAAAATTGTTTCAACAGTGTTCACTATTTTAATTTTTCCGGATCACCCTCTGTTTTACCTGTTTATGTGAGTTAACAGCTTTGGTTGCAGAATGTGGAGGCTTGGACTGGCTTGAGTGCAAGGGGCCACCCTTTCTCTCATGTATATCTTCTTTTACTCTGACCAAATCTTGAGGCACTGAGTCTGATGTCTTAGCCAGTTTCCATCGTCATCCCTAACCAGGTGCTGCCTTTTCGCAAACAACATCTTAATGCAGCTTTCTCCATTTGGGGGTAATGGACAGAGACATTTAAACTGGAAGGGGAGTTGTGTGACTGTTGGTAGGCCCTCCGATTGCTGTGTGATGTCCTCGTGTCATTGTGGTCATAGTGTATATCCTATTTATTCTGCTTTTTTGCAGTCTTAAAACCCAAACTTTTCCCAGTGCTTAGCATAATTTCATTAATGATTTTAAAAGACTAAACTTGTCCCTCAAGTTTATGTTCCATAGGGTATGCATTCTTTCTTTGATTGGAATTATTTTCACAGGATGTATTCTCACTGTGAGGTAACGCTTTCAAATTATTATTATTTTTTAATCCTGATGCGTATTGATTTGCGTGGAGTTACTCATTGAATTTAATAAACATATAGGGGCTTACTAATTTGCATCACCATCAAAAATTTGTTTCCTGTTTTACTTAGTTTCTTCATTGGAAATTAACAAGTTTTTTTTTTGTAATTTAATAGGTGTGAAAACTTTAATTCTTTAGTAGCAGTGTTTCTAAGAAACAGCGTCTTTTTTTTACTAGGAGAAAGATTGTTAAGATTGTTGGTAAGGGGCTTTTTTTTTTTTTTTTTGGAGTCAAGGTCTCACCCAGGCTGGAGTGCAGTGGTGCAGTTGCTTCTCACTATAAGTATGACCTCCTGGGCTCAAGCAGTCTTCCCCACTCAGCCTTCCAAGTAGCAGGGACCACAGGCATGTGCCACCATGTCTGGCTGATTTTCTTTTAATTTTTGGTAGAAATGGAGTGTTGCTTCTTTGCCCAGACTGGTCTTAAACTCCTGGACGCATGTGATCTTCCCGACTTGGCCTCCCAAAGTGTTGGGATTACAGGTGTAGGCCACTACACCCAGCCTATTAGTGAGTTTTAAATGTAAACCTTCTGTTAGTCTCAGTGTTTATATACAAGGTCATGTAGGTGTTAGCATAACAGCTACTCATTTCTACTTAGACTTTGTTAATGAAATCTTACATTTCAAAGTAGGTATTTAATTTGCTTAAAACATTTTAGAAGTACAGTTTTTTTGGCCAGGCGCAGTGGCTCATGCCTGTAATCCCAGCACTTTGGGAGGCCAAGGCGGGTGGATCACCTGAAGTCAGGAGTATGAAACCAGCCTGGCCAACATAATGAAACCCCGTCTCTGCTAAAAATACAAAAATTAGCCGGATGTGGCGTGGTGTAGTGTGGCATGGCATGAGCCTGTAATCCCAGCTACTCGGGAGGCTGAGACAGGAGAATCGCTTGAACTCGGGAGGCGGAGGTCGCAGTGAGCCGAGATCATGCCATGCACTCCAGCGTGGGAGACAGAGTGAGACTCTGTCTCAAAAAAAAAAAAAAAGAAGTACAGTTTTTTGACTAGGTAATATATGCACATTAGATAAAGATTAGGTTTATACAGCCCCCACAAGCTCTGTTCCCATCCCCCTCCCACTTCAGAAGCAGCATGTTATGTTCTTATGTGTCCTTCCAAAAAAGAGACTATGCATAAATAAGTATATATGGATGAGGTTATCTCATCAACCTTTACAGGATTAACAGGAAGATATATTTGTGATATGGGTCCAGCAGATATAAGTATTTGGCAAACAACATTAATAAAACTGGCAAAAACAGATTTAATTTGAACTGGTGTGACTGTATTCCAGGGTCACTGGGTTCTAGAGCTACTGCCCATGGTAGAGGCAGAGGCTGGGCTCCAGGTCTCCCTCAACCCCCCGTCAACACCTCATCTTTGGCCGGGTGACAGCCAGACTGTTCTGTTGTACATTTGCACTTCCAACTGAGATTTTGTTTGGAGAAAGGAATTTAAGGTGAATACCGCATTAGGCAGACAGTACCAGTAACTGTCTTAATTTTCTCTCTTAATTTTTAGATGTTTCTCACCGTGTATCTCAGTAACAATGAGCAGCACTTCACAGAAGTTCCAGTTACTCCAGAAACAATATGCAGAGATGTGGTGGATCTGTGCAAAGAACCCGGAGAGAGTGATTGCCATTTGGCTGAAGTGTGGTGTGGCTCTGGTGAGAGACGCTGATGGCCTCGTGCTTCAGTTCTTTTGTCTTCTATTAATGTTGGTTTGTAGATGTGGCACTGTGTAAGTGCTCATGTTTCTCCGGGGAGAAACTGTAGAATAGCATGTCTGGCAGAACATAGTGTTCCTGATCCAGCTTTGGTATGATACATTAAGTCTTTTTGCTGTTTTCTTTTTCTGCAATAAAATGGAGACACCACAATATAAAATATAAAAGGTCATCTGGGATGTTGTGGTCCAATGGATGGTGCTCAACAGTGTCTTTGTATGTGTAAGCTTTACTTAATTAGAAATTTGAGTCATCCTGATTGGTTTGCCCTCTCTCAATTTCTGTAAGTTTTTAGAGGAAGCTACTCAGTGTTGAGGAACTGTAGTGGCAGACAGCAATGGTGAACTCATGGGCATTGTTGTAAGCCATGAAATCAATCCCTCTGTATGGTTCTTTGGAGCTCTAAAATGGGATAACCTGGTTTCTTTTTGGCTCCATAGGAGTTGGTAGATGTGGGAGTAATTTTTCATCATTTCTGCCTTGTTCCTGCACAGGCTGGGTGAACTCCTGCTGGTTTCCTTTTTCACCTCTGGGGATGCCAGATGTCCCCAGAGCAAGTTACACACTGTGTTAATTGAGTTCATGCCATTCATGATGGCTAACTTCAGCTGAGCTCCCCCTTCTTTTCAGGCAAGTCCTTTTATTCATCTTTGGTTGACTTTTCTACAATTGGATGTTCTAGAAGGTCTTCTGCAGTCTCTCCGAATTACTTTCTTTTCTCTTTACGTAGGAACCAGATTAGAACAATCACATGAAGAAACCCAAGGGATCTTTTGAAAATGAAAATCAGATAATTTCACTTTCCTGCTTAAAACTAGCGACTTCTCTTCCACTTACAATAAAATCCAAACTTTTAATATGAGGTTGTGAAGTTCTGTAGATTCTTAGTCTTTGCTCTTATCTGGTACCATTTTCTTCTCTGCTTCTTCCTGCAGCTTTAAAAATATTTCTTGAATATGCTAAGCTCATTCCCACCTTAGAGTCATTGGTGATAGCCATTCCCACTGTTTGTATTGCTCTGTCTCCAGATACTGTCATTGCTGGTTCCTTCTGGATTGTAGCTAAAATGTTAACCTCCTCGGAGAGGCTTTTCCTGAGCACCCTGCCAAAAGTAGCCATGAAGTTAGTTCTCAGTTATATCATCCTGATGTCATCCTCTGCAGAAAGTGCATCACTCTGACTTTGTGTGTGTTATCCTGATAGCCCCAAACATATGCACTAGAATGTAAGCTATTTAAGGATATAGACCTTGTTTATCTTGTTCATTGCTGTATCCCCAGCTCCAGGGGAGTGCCTTGTACCTAGTATGTGCTGTAGAAATATTTTTGGAATGAGTAAATGAACTTCTAGCTGCTCCTGGTAACCTCCTTGCATTCAGCAAATTACCTTCCTTTATTCTTCACTGAGATAATTGAAACCATCCATTGTGTGCTTCTTCAGTTTTCTTACTCTGTACCTTAGATTCCCTCTGTGTGTCTCCCTTTTTTTCTCATTTTCATAGAGGAAGAAGTGTTCTTTCTTTGCTAGGGCTATACTCTGTTCCTTGACACTTTTGATCCCACTTACTCCTCTTGCTCACTTGAATTTAATAACCTTTACTATGTGATGATGACATGTAAAGGATTTTCTTTCTTACAACTTTTTTTTTTTTTTTGAGACGGAGTTTCACTCTTGTTGCCCAGGCTGGAGTGCAATGGCGCGATCTCGGCTCACTGCAACCTCCGCCTCCTGGGTTCAAGCGATTCTCCTGCCTCAGCCTCCCGAGTAGCTGCGATTACAGGCATGTGCCACCATGCCCAGCTAATTTTGTATTTTTAGTAGAGATGGGCTTTCTCCGTGTTGTTCAGGCAGGTCTCGAACTCCTGATGGTGATCCGCCTGCCTAGGCCTCCCAAAGTGCTGAGATTACAGGAGTGAGCCACCACACCTGGCACAACTTTTTAATTAAAAAAACTTTTGGCTGGACACGATAACTCATGCCTATAATCCCAGCACTTTGGGAGGCCGAGGAGGGTTGATCACCTGAGGTTAGGAGTTTGAGACCAGCCTGGCCAACATGGTGAAATCCCACCTCTACTAAAATAAAATACAAAAATTAGCCAGGTATGATGGCGGGCACCTGTAATCCCAGCTACTGGGGAGGCTGAGGCAGGAGAATTCCATGAACTTGGGAGGCAGAGGTTGCAGTGAGCCGAGGTCGCGCAACTCTACTCCACTCCAGTCTAGGTGACAGAGCAAGATTCTGTCTCAAAAAAGAAAAAAAAATTTTTTTAAATGACAACACCGATATGTGTTCTAGGTTTTTTTTGTTTTGTTTTTCTTTTCTTTTCTTTTTTTTTTTTTTTTGAGATGGAGTCTCGCTCTGTCACCAGGCTGGAGTGCAGTGGCACGATCTTGGCCCACTGCAACCTCCGCCTCCTGGATTCAAGTGATTCTCATGCCTCAACCTCCCAAGTAGTTGGGATTACAGGCACACGCCACCACACCAGCTAGTTTTTTTTGTATTTTTAGTAGAGATAGGGTTTCATCATGTTGGCCAGTATGGTCTTGAACTCCTGACCTCGTGATCTGCCCGTCTTGGCTTCCCAGGGTGCTGGGATTACAGGCGTGAGCCACTGTGCTCAGCCTCTAGTTTAAAAGAGGAGATAATATAAACAGAATGGATATCTCTCTCCTAAGCAATTCCCCTCGTCTCTTGATGTAATCACTTTAGCCAGATAATTTCTCAGACCTTTTCTCTGCATTTGTAAGTAACTGTAGAAATATTTTTGTGGTGTTTCTATATATTTTCTTTATGTAAGCAGTAGCATACATATCCGTGTTCTCCAATTTACTATTTTACCTTACAACATAGCTTGTAGATCTTTTCTTTTCAGATTAGTATGTGTAAATCTGTATCTTTTTTTTTTTTTTGAGACGGAGTCTTACTCTGTTGCCCAGGCTGGGGTGCAGTGGCACCGTCTCGGCTAACTGCCACCTCTGCCTTCCAGGTTCAAGCGATTCTACTGCCTCAGCCCCCTGAGTAGCTGTAACTACAGGCGCCCACCACCACACCCAGCTAATTTTTATATTTTTAGTAGAGATGGAGTTTCACCATGTTGGCCAGGCTGGTCTTGAACTCCTGACCTCAAGTGATACACCAGCCTCAGCCTCCCAAAGTGCTGGGATTATAGACATGAGCCACCGTGTTATTTTTAAATTATCACATAATTTCCCCCAGTATGCATAAACTGCAGTTGAGCTAACAATTGCTTTATTTATAAACATTTAAATTAATTATCTTGTTTTAATAAGTGCTGAGTAAAAATCCTTTTAGGAACCTCTTCTGATCCTATGCAAGCATTTCTCTAAAGGGTGGACGCCAAAAATGGAATTCTTTGGTTAAAAGTTCATAACTTTTTTTAATTTTCAAAAAAAATTTTTTCTTCTTCTTTATTCCCCTCCACCTTTTCCTCCCCATCCTCCTCTCCATCTCCCTCCTCCTCATGCAGTAACCGATGTGAAATATTTTATTTTTTTATTGAGATAAGGTCTTGCTGTGTTGCCCAGGCTGGAGTGCAGTGTGGTGCGGTCTTGGCTTGCTGTAGCCTTGACCTCCTAGGCTTAAGTGATCCTCTCACCTCAGCCTCCTGAGTAGTTGGTACTACAGGAATGTGCCACCACACCCAGCTAATTTTTCTATTTTTTGTAAAGATGGAGTTTTGCTATGTTGCCTAGGCTGGTCTGAAACTCCTGGGTTTAAGTGATCCGCCAGCCTCAGCCTTCTAAAGTGTTGGGATTACAGGCGTGAGCCACTGTGCCTGGCCAGGCCCCACATTTTTTTTTCTTTTTTTAAAATTTTATTGTGTGTATTTAAGGTATACAACATGATGTTATGGGATACTTATAGGTAGTAAACAGGTTACTGTCATGAACCAAATTAACATAAAGTTTCGCACATTTGAAAATGTAATATATGTTGTCAAATTTTCTTCTGCAAAGGTTATATCAGTTCATACCTTTTCCGGTTATTTCTAGATGTATTCCTCATCAAGTTATAATATTTTAACTTTTACTAAACTGATAGCTGAAAACTTGACTTTTGTTTAAATTTGCATATTTTTTTTTTTTTTTTTTAACTTTGTCCACTTCCCCCCCCCCCCCCCCCCCCCCCCCCCCCCCCCCCCCCCCCCCCCCTTTGTATTAAAGTTCTGCAATATCTCTGACTTTTCAAATGTGGTTGACCATTTGCATATTTCTGATTTCAAATGTGGTTGCCTGCTTTTTCATTTGTTCGTTGGCCATTTGGCTTTTTGGTTTTTGAAATTTGTTTCTTTATATCCTTTGCTTATGTTTACTCTGGCTTTTTCCCTTCCCTCTTGATTTGAAGGCATTTAAAAACCATTCAGGATCTCAGGCCTATCTATATGTGTGTTATTAAAAAAAAAATTTCTTATTCCAAAGCTGTAACTTAATTCTCTAAGTGTTAAGCCTTTGTTCTCCTCTCTTGTCTTCCTCTTCTTTCCTTTTCCATTTCCTCACTACCCACTTGTGCATTTGCTTAGTGGATATTTCTCGGATGCCTGTTACGTGCTAGGGACGGCACTTGATGGAGAGGGATAGAGAGATGAAAGTTACCTTTAGGTGTCTTCCAGGGCACAAAGAGAAACAAGTATCCACAGACATTTATAATACAATGTGATAGTTGCAGTAATAGATGTGTTTCATCTGCAGGAAAAAAGGGTGCTGGGGGGCGGATGATGCATGATAGGAATGGCTTGTTCAGAGTCATATAGGCAGGAATGCCAAGGAGATACAGTCGTGTGTCACTTAATGATGGTGATATGTGCTGAGAAATTTGTCATTAGGTGATTTTGTTGTTGTGTGAATATCATAGAGTGTACTTACACAAATCTAGATGGTATAGCCTACTACACACCTAGGCTATACGGTATATAGCCTAACACTCCTAGGCTACAAACCTGTACAACATGTTACTGTCTTGAATACTGTAGGCAGTTATAACACAGTGGTATTTGTGTATCTAAACATGTTTAAACATAGGGAAAGGTACAGTAAAAATATGGCCTTACAATCTTATGGGACCACTGTCAACACGCAGTGCATGACCGTAGGTGTGGTTGGCACACAGGTGTTAGTAGGGAGCTTTGAGAGCCTTTGAAGTGTCTGTTTCAGTTTATGCAGGCCTATGCCTGATCTTTTGCCATCACAGGCCCATCGGGATGTCAGCCTGGAGCTTATAAGAAAGTCCATATCCTTCTGGGGCAGTCCGACGTGGACTGCAAGCTACTATACTTCCTTTGAGTTGTCTTTTTGCTCCTGAAACCTGGAGATTTTACTTGTTTTGAGTACAGCTTGTGTGTGTCTATTTTGTAGGGGCGGGTGGAAGGTCTACTCAGAATTTCTTTCGGAGGGTTTCTCTCTAACTATGGTGTATCCTTTTTAGGGGGGTCTTAGAATATGTGTGGTTTATAAAAGGGGATAATCTGTGTCAACTCTCAGTATGTTATGTGACTGGAAGTAGAACCAGAACCGCACTTTGTTGCAGCCAAGCAGGTTAAGTTCAGGGTTGGTTCACCAAATTGGCTGCGTGAATTGAATTGAATGCTTGCCTGCTCTGTTCTCTCCCATGTTTATTTAAGGTGTTGATTACTAATAAATGTGTTGAGTTTTCTTAGGGTATTTCAACATTCTTATATTTAAAAATTATGTTGACATTACTGCCGTTTCGTTGATTTTAAGCAGTTGCTGCCTCAAACAGTATGTCTTGTTTTTATATCCAGATCCCTTGAGATTGGAAGATTTTTTTAGGACAGCTTGAGATACATTGTTTCTCTTGAAGGCTTCTATTTTTACTGCGTATTTAGGTGTGCCCTTCTTTTTTTTTTTTCCAGAAAAATTCTGACACTGGTATTCTCACTGGAAGAAGGGCAAATATAGATACATTTTACAGCAGTAAATAGACTTTTATTTGGAAATGGATAGGTCTGATTTTTTTTAACATTGTTTGTAAAATTATAATTTAAAAATAGCCTGTATTGAAAACTACAATAAAAAAAAAGACTAAGCTATTTAGAAAGTTGCTTTTTAATTTTTTTGTATATTCAGAGAATCATGAACATTAGTGTTAGAGGGGACTGTCTGATCTAATATAGATTTTACAGAAACTTTTGGAACTACAGAAGTTAAATGGCCAGGCGCGGTGGCTTATGCGTATAATCCCAGCACTTTGGGAGGCCGAGACAGGTGGATCACGAGGTCAGGAGATCGAGACCATCCTGGCTAACACGGCGAAACCCTGTCTCTACTAAAAATACAAAAAAATTAGCCGGGCGTAGTGGCCTGTAGTCCCAGCTGCTCAGGAGGCTGAGGCAGGAGAATGGCGTGAACCCGGGAGGCGGAGCTTGCAGTGAGCCGAGATCACGCCACCGCACTCCAGCCTGGGCGACTGAGCAAGACTCTGTCTCAAAAAAGAATAAAAGGAAAAAAAAAAAAAAAAGAAGAAGTTAAATGGCACGCCTGTGGCCAGCATGGAGCCCACTGGATTAGACTACTGAGCTCCCGACAGCTGGCAGAGATGCATTGCCCTTTCTAGTATTCCACCCTTGGCTTGACTCTGATCGTGTGTGTGGAAAATCTGTGTTACTTCATTTTCTAAGACGTGTTTTAATGAAAAAAATTTACCTGAGATACTAAGCATTTGCTGTATCCGTAATGTATAATTTGCATGAAGGATAGATGGTGAATGATATGTTTATCTTTCTTTTACCTGAAAATAATGTGGTTTCTACTCATTTGCTTTAGAACGTCCAGTTGCGGATAATGAGCGAATGTTTGATATTCTTCAGCGATTTGGAAGTCAGAGGAACGAAGCTCGCTTCTTCCTTCGTCATGAACACCCCCCTGGCAGGGACATTGGTAGGTAGTGCTCTGTGAATTGTGACAGATATTTAAGCTTTTTATTTTGTGCTGGTGGCGCATGATGAGAAGCCAGGTAATTTGAGAGGTGAAGGAGAGGTTAGGAAATGTAAACAGTGGAAATAGGATGAAGAGAAGTTTGACTATAGTTTTTTAATGCGCATGGGAAGGAGTCATTAGAGTAGGGGTTTGAAACTCTAAGAAAGAGAATACTTGTTAGTCAGGGTCCCTGATTAGGTCCTTCTGCAGCCCTGAGGACTTAGACAAGAGGAAGGATCCCTCTTCCATAATAACAGGACAGAAATAAAACTGTGGCAGATGTGGCTAAATTTGTGCATTTTGTGGGAGTAAGTTGAGGGATTTCTTATCTAAAAACATTTGTTTTCTCTGAGGTAGGAGTGATGATGTAGGTGGGTGGGAAGTTTGAGCTGTTTTGGAGATTAGGAGAGAAGGTTTACTAGGGAAGCCAGGCTGCTGGGAACCGTTGAGGCCAGTTGAGATTAGAGACCATGAGACCATACGTGATTTTTCTCCAGTGGTTGTCTACAGCCCAGGTGGGTTGTAAGAAGAGAAGAAACCAAAGGTATCTAGACAAATTCTTTCTAGGCAATTGTCTAGGAAACCCAGGGTTTCTAGACAAATTCAATGGAAGATCAGGGGGGATACCTCAGCTGGTTGGGGAAGAAGTGAAGACAGGAGGCACTTTGGGGCAAGAGTAGACAGAGTTAAGAGGCTGCGAGTCTCAGATGAAAGAACAGGTGTCATGAGAGGAAATGAGTGAGACAGGCAGATTGAAAGGAAATAGTGTTCAAAAAACAGAAGGTTTGAATTGAAAATTTCGGAGGTAGAGGGCTTCTAGTGTTGTGGTCCCAGGTGGGGCCCTGAAATGAACCTGAATTAGAGTGGAGACGAGAAAACTAGAACTGAGAGGCTAGCATTTGGGCAGTAACATCATCCAGAATGAAGGCAGGACTTGGAGGTGGAGAGAACAAGGGAGTCAACTGGTCACATTGTTAGTGACCAGGATTGTGACCAGAGTTTATAGATGACTGTAAGGGGAAGGTGGAGGAGAGTGTGGGTGGGAAGCAGCAGTAGACACTGGGGACACAGCCATCCCTGTGACCCAGCAGTCTGGTAGGATGTGGGAGAACGAGCAGGCTTATTGGACATTATAAAAGCTCAGTTTTGGCTGAGCGTGGTGGTTCATGCCTGTAATCCCAGCACTTCGGAAGGCTGAGGCGGGAGAATCACGAGGTCAGGGGATCTAGACAGACCATGCTGGCCAGCATTGTGAAACCTCGTCTCTACTAAAAATAAAAAAACTAGCTGGACGTGGGACCTGTGATCCCAGCTACTCAGGACGCTGAGGCGAGAGAATCGCTTGAATCAGAGTTGGAGGTTGCAGTGAGCCGAGATGGCACCACTGCACTCCAGCCTGGCGACAGAGCAAGACTCGTCTCAAACAACAACAACAACAAAAAAACCAAAATTAGCTGGGCACCTGTAATCCCCCCTACTTGGGAGGCTGAAGTAGAAGAATCACTTGAACCTGGGAGGCGGAGGTTGCGGTGAGCCGAGATCACACCATTTGCACTCTAGCCTGGGCAACAAAGCAAGACTCTGTCTCCAAAAAAAAAAAAGCTCAGTTTCATTAACTAACTGTTGCATTAACGCATGTGTCTATATGGTACCTGACCATTGGGAATGATTAAATTTAGAGTATGGGTTAGCTGAGGGGCAGAATTGACTTAGTTTGGCCCCTTCTACCCTACAGATGAGAAATGCTGATACTTAGGGGTTAAGTGACTTGTCAGAGGCCACACACCTAGAGGCAGAGCCAGGAGTGGAACCTGAATCACCTCAGCCAAGCTGCCTGGTTGCCTTTTGGTATCACTGGTGTCTTTAATTTTATTTTAAGTAAACATGTATTTTTTTCCGTAGGCTTTTTTTTTTTTTTTGGTAGTTTTATATTGGCATTTGTATCTTATTTTTATTTTGTTCTCTATTTACATCGCATGCACTCTTTTCTAATTAGTTGAATTTTACCCATTCATCTACCTGTTCAAATATCTTGCTGTCTAGTACTGGATAAATTATTGAATAGTCTCTCAATAGTGCAATATGCAGTTTCAGTGTCTGTAATGTGAGAATTATAATCTGAAGATAAAGGAGCTGTTTTCACATTGTCACAAAACACCAGTGCCACATAGTGTTGAAATTGGGATAAAACAGGATTGTTTTTCAGTCTCCTTTATTAAGGTGTTAACTTACTCTTTTTGGTCTAGACCTCTCGATTAAGGATTACGAGACTGTCACCATATTCTTTTTCCAATTCAATTAGGACCAGTGACCCAGAATGTATATGAAATTATGTTTAAGGCTCTTGCTTCTTACTTTAATTAGGTAACTGATTATACAAAGGAGGAGCTAGTTAAGTGCTCTTTCTTTAAGACAGCAAAGAAAGCAATTATTCTGAAATTATTGAAGTTTTTTTTCTTACAGAAATATTGTGGCAGATTACCTGAGCTATTTTGTCAGATAATTGAGCTGCATTTTAAAAATAAAAGCTGATTGTATTAGAATTAGGTGTAAGTGTGATACTTGGCTCTGAGTAGACATGTTTATTTATTTGTTTATTAGCAATGGGAATTTGTGCTAAGATTCCTGACGGTTATAATAGACATTTTACTTAAGTTTCTTGGGAGGTAATTTGATAATTTTTTTAATTTCTGGGAAGTACAGGTATGAGCTTAATTTAATGTATTTTTTAAATTCTCTGTTGGTATTTTTGCTTCTTATAATGTTTTAGTTTAAATTAAGATGTTTCTTTTTATGATACATTAAGTGGTACTGAAAGATCCATGTATTTTGACTTTAAAAATTCTTTTTAGCCAAAAAAGCAGAATATATAGTGTTTCTGGATAGTTCCTTCACAAACTTAAACAAATATTTTGCTTAAATAAATGTAGAAGTACTTCATAGTACTTACAAATTACCACAAAATGTTTGCAGTAAACCAAATAATTAAGATACTACTTGTTCCATTTTTAAGTGCTTTCTTCTCATAATAATTTAAAAATATTGTTAGTGAGTACAAGGATACATTGATGTAATTTTCAACTATTTCAGTAAAGCTTTTCTTGATTTAACTACTGAGTAGCTAAATAGATGACTAGGAAGAGCAACTATCAGCAAATGGTATGAATTACTCATAGTCAGAAGTACATTAAGTTTGTTAAGTTTTCCTCCTTTGGTATGTGAATCAGACAGGTTTCCTAATGACTAGGTGGCATGTGATACTTAGTAGTGCTAAGTATTCACTGTTCCATGAAATTAATTTTGCAAAACACACTGAGTTATGAGACCTTAAGTTCATTGCTATTAGAAAGTATTTTGTTTTAAGGATATATTCAACTTAAAATATCAAACAGCAGTAATGACAGAACTTGGAAATGAAAATGGTTCTTAAAATATCTGTCAACTCTAGTGTTAATGCATAATTTTTGGATTTTGTCCTTAGTGAGTGGACCAAGATCTCAGGATCCAAGTTTAAAAAGAAATGGTGTAAAAGTTCCTGGTGAATATCGAAGAAAGGAGAATGGTGTAAGTTGTTTTAATCCATACTATATATACCACAGTCTATGTATTTTTTAACTTCAAATCTTATTCATTATTACTATGTTATTCAATAGGCTAAGGATGGCCCCTTTTTAAAGGTTATTTTAAATTTGTTTTATAGAAACTTAATTTTAATGATCTCTTTATGGCTGACTGTTGGAAGAAATTGTATGTTTAATGTGACACAAATTCAGAACAAAATAAAAGCTGAGCAAGTTTGAGGAAGTATTTCTTATTTGGTGATTTTATTTGTTGCTATCATCGCTTTATTAAAAATGGAAAATCGGCCGGGTGCCGTGGCTCACGCCTGTAATCCCAGCACTTTGGGAGGCTGAGGTGGGTGAATCACCTGAAGTCAGGAGTTCGAGACCAGCCTGACCAACATGGAGAAACCCCATCTCTACTAAAAATACAAAATTAGCCAAGTGTGGTGGTACATGCCTGTAATCCCAGCTACTCAGGAGGCTGAGGCAGGAGAATCTCTTGAACCCGGGATGCAGAGATTGCGGTGAGCCTAGGTTGCACCATAGCACTCCGGCCTGGGCAACAAGAGTGAAGCTGTCTCAGAAAAAAAAAGGAAAATTATATATTTATGCTCTTGCTATTGCATGTGAATTTGAGCATGCATCTTTGGTGTATTTGGAAGACATTTCTTTTCAGAGGTCACTATTTTTAGTGCCATTAGGGATTAGCTAAATTACCTTTTTCCAATCATCAGTACATTTATAGTAGAATTCAGATGATCTTAAGTACCATTTGCTCTTACTATGTCTTCATATTCTTCTTTTTCTTTTCTTTGACTTATTTTTATTTTTATTTTATTTTACTGTTTTCTGGGACCAAGTCACATTCTATCGCCCAGGCTGGAGTGCAGTGGCATGGTCTCGGCTCACTGCAAACTCTGACTTCTGGGTTCATGCCATTCTTCTGCCTCAGCCTCCCAAGTAGCTGGGATTACAGGTGTGTGCCACCACACCCAGCTAATTTTTGTATTTTTAATAGAGATGGGGTTTCACCATGTTGGCCAGACTGGTCTTGAACTCCTGACCTCAAGTGATCCACCTACCTCTGCCTCCCAAAGTGCTGGGATTACAGACATGAGCCATGGCGCCCAGTCTTTTCTTTGATTTAATAGTTATCTTACAATGATGAAAGGATGATATGCAAATGATCTTAGCCATTGTTTTAGTGCATATGGACACAATGTATCTCCTCCTCCACCAACTAGAGGCTGAGGCGGGAGGATCACTTGGAGCCAGAAGTTTGAGACTAGCCTGGGCAACAAAGCGAGACTGTGTCTCTATTAAAGAGATAAATTATATCTTTATATATGTATTTTTAAAAAGCTGCCAAATGTTTCCAAAGTGATCATATTATTTTACATGCCCACCAGAGTTTTACTGTTTCCACATCCTTGCCAACGTTTGGTATGGTCAGTTTTTTTAATTTTAGCCATTAAAATATATGTGTAGTGGTATTGCATTGTGGTTTTAATTTGTATTTCTCTAATGACTAATGATTTTGGACATCTTTTCATGTGCTTATTTGCTCTCTGTGTTTCTTCTTTGGTGAAATTATTTGTTCAAATCTTTTGCCCAGTTTTTTGCTCTCTTACTGAGTTTGAGAGTTCTAATAGTCTGGATCCATTTTTTTTTTTTTTTAATGGAGCATACTTTTAGTGTTGTATCTAAGAACTCTTTGCCCAACCCAGGGTCACAGAGATTTTTTTTTTCTTTGTTTTCTTTTAAAAGTTTTGTGGTTTTCAGTTTTACCTTTAAATCTATGATCCCTATTGAGTTAACATTTGCATATGGTGTGAGAATCAAAGTTCATTTTTTTTTTTTTTTTTTGAGACAGAGTCTTAGTCTGTCGCCTAGGCTGGAGTGCAATGGTGCGATCTCAGCTCACTGCAAGCTCCACCTCCCAGATTCAAGTGATTCTCCTGCCTCAACCTCCTGAGTAGCTATGATTATAGGTGCCCGCCACCACGCCCAGCTAATTTTTGTATTTTTAGTAGATATAGGGTTTCACCATATTGGTCAGGCTGGTCTTGAACTCCTGACCTCAGGTGATCCACCCGCCTTGGCCTCCCAAAGTTCTAGGATTACAGGCGTGAGCCACTGGGCCCGGCCCTAAAGTTTATCTTTTTAATATGAATATCTAATTGTATAAGCAGTATGTATTGGAAAGATTATTCTTTTTCCATTCAGTTGCTTTTGCACCTTTGTCTAAAATCAGTTGCCTCCTGTATGGGGCTATTTTTGTACTCGCTATTCTGTTTCATTGATCTGCTTGTCTATTTTGACGTCAATACCACATGATTGGTCACTGGAACTTTTATAAGTCTTGAAGTCAGATAATGTAAGTTTTACACTTTATTCTTCTCAGAGTTGTTTTGGCTATTCTAGATGCTTATTACTTCCATATGAATTTTAGAATCAACATCAATTTTTACAAAAATGCCTGTTTGTATTTCAGTTGAGATTTTGTTGAATCTGTAGATCAGTTTGAGAAGAATTGCTGTCTTGACAGTATTGAGCCTCCAATTCATGGACATGGTGTAACTCTCCATTTATTTGGATTTTCTTTCAGCAATTTTTGAGATTTTGGTATATACATCTTACATATTTATTAAATTTATCCCTAAGTATTTCATATTTTTGATACTATAAATGGTATTTAAAATTTTTAAATTTATAATTGTTTCTAATATATTGAAATGTACTTGACTTTTGCATATTTGATTTTTTTTTTTTTTTTATCCTGCGGTCTTGCTATGTAACCTATTTATCTGGTAGTTTTTTTTGGAGATTCCATAGTATTTTCTTCATAGATGATTATATCGTCTATGAAGGCAGTTGAACTTCTTTCTTACCAATCTGGATGCTGTTTATTTGTCTTTCTTGTTTATTGCATTGGTTAGAACCTCTAGGACAATGTAGAATAGATGTTGTGAGAGTGGATGTCCTTGCTTTGTTTCTGTTGACCCAATGTGTCTTGAATTTTTTAGTGCTATTGTATTTTTAAATGATATTCCAGTGACTAAATTCTAGGTTTGCTGCCAGTGCCTCAGTACCATGTTTAATATGATCAAATAGATGATCTTCTGTTGTAATATAAATTACAGAACAAGGTAATTCTGAGTTGTTCCATTTATGTCCCTGACTGTTGAAACTATTTAATTTTAAACTTACAACTTAAAATAAAAGATTATTGTATATTAGTATGTTTTATATCTTAAAAAGTCAATGTGATGAGTATTAATGTAAGAATTAATGGTCTGCTTAATATTATGAAAGAAAAATCACTAAATAATTTTATCGTAGTTGGTTCAGATGAAGCTTTTACATAGACTTTTGAGGGTAGAAACTCTGTGATAATTTTATAGTAAGTTGGGATTGTGTTTATTTGTGTTTTTACTTGTAGGTTAATAGTCCTAGGATGGATCTGACTCTTGCTGAACTTCAGGAAATGGCATCTCGCCAGCAGCAACAGATTGAAGCCCAGCAACAATTGCTGGCAACTAAGGTAGTATCTTCTATTTTTTTTGGAGATGAAGTCTCACTCTGTCGCCTAGGCTGGAGTGCAGTGGCACGATCTCCGCTCACTGCAACCTCCACCTCCTGAGTTCGAGTGATTCTACTGTCTCAGCCTCCCAAGTAGCTGGGATTACCGGCAAATGCCACCACACCTGGCTAAATTTTGTATTTTTTGTAGAGATGGGGTTTCACCGTGTTGGCCAGGCTGGTCTCAAACTCCTGACCTCAGGTGATCTGCCACTTTGGCCTCCCAAAGTGTTGGGATTACAGGCGTGAGCCATCGTGCCTGGCTGGTAGTATCTTCTTTTAAAAGACCGAACAGGCCGCTATTGTTAATGTATGTGTAAGGCTATTTACGTTCTACCCCCCTTAAGCCAATTACCTCACAGATATGAGGTGACATTGTCAACCCAAAAGCCACCTGCTGTTTGGTGCTCTCTTGGTGCTCTCTTTAAGTCCTTACTACAGCATTTTGTAGAAATCCTTGTATCATCCTAATTATTCAAGATCTTCCTGACTCCTGATTCTGATCAACATTAACTATGCTATGCTGGTTATCAGTCAGACAGGAAAGGTGGAAAGAGCCCTTCATCTTTGCTCCTAGGAACTACTCTGGGCCACAGCAAGAGGAATATTAAAGTTCTAACATGGCATGGTTAATCTTGGATCAGAATAATCTAATACTGTCCCCTTCTGGAGCTTGGAACCAATAATGGGCTGCTTGCCTTTTTTTGGGGAACATTCTTTATCCACAAACTAACGCTAGTCCTGGCCTTGAACAAGGAAAATATAAGAAGCCACTCCGTTACCATCAGAACTGCTGCTTCTCCTGCCAGCCATAGGCTTCCAATCTGACCCAAAAGCCAACAGACCTTTCTCTGTAAAGGGCTACATAGTAAATATTTTGGGCTTTGCAAGGTTTGCTGCCTCTGTTGCAACTACTCAACTCTGCTGTTATAAGCTGTCATGGATAATAGGTAAACAGATAGTGTGGCTATGTCCCAATAAAACTTTACTTACAAAAACAAGATAGCAAGCTGGATTTGGCCTGCAAGCTATAGTTTGTCAACCCCTGGTCTTAACACCCAGGATCCACAACTGACCAGTCCTTTAGTGATTATAAGGCCACTGAAGCAGGGGTAGACACTTGTTGGTTTGTCATGGGCAAAGTTACCCAACAGGGCTTTGAAATAATGGCCAGGAATTCTTCAAGGCAGTTCTCAACACGCAGTGTGGACTTCCATTTCATACTTTCTAGGGTTCCTGTGTATCCATTTCTGTTTGTAATACCAGACCCCAGTTTTTCCAAAATCATATATATCATTGCTTCTCAAACTTTAAGATACATATGAATCTCCTAGGGATTGTGTTGAAAATGCCTATTCTGATTCAGTAGGTATGAGTTGAGATTTGAGCTTCTGCATTTCTCACAAGCTTCCAGGTGATGCTCATGCACATTACATTGAGTGGTAAGGATATATAGTCAAATAAAAAGGTTGGTTGTTGAAGAATAAATCTCTAACCTTTTTAGTCTTCAAGGACTAAAAAACAAGTGCTTGTGGGTTTTTTTTTTTTTTCTTTTGATATAGGTTCTCACTGTGTTGCCCAGGCTGGACTTGAATTCCTGGGTTCAAGTAATCCTCCTGCCTTAGCCAGGGTTTTTGTTTTGATTATTTCCATGTTACTTATATGTTTTTGGCATATTAATCTAAGAACTAGTTTACCTGTGATTATAAATTGTGTGGCTCTGTTACTCAGTTTTAGTTAAAATTTTTAATGTAATAAATACAAAATTTCTGCTATAACAAAAGTACCTTGGGGCAGGGGAGAGAAACAGTTTCAGATTCCATAATTGCAGCTTTCTAAAGGTGTTAAATATTTCTTTAGCTCTTTTCAGTGACCGTTTATTGAGAATATACTACATAAAATACCATTTAAAGACATTTACATTTCACATTTCATTTAATCTTCACCGTAGTAACATTGGTAGTTACTATTGATCATCCCCGTTTTATAGATGAAGAAACATAGACTTGCATACTTGGTGAGGTTATGCAGTTTGTTCAAGGTCTCATAGCTAATAAGCGGCAGAGCTTGGGTTTGAATCTAAATGTACTCCAAATCTTATACATTTAAATACTTTCTTATAATGCTTCCCATTTCTACATGAGCTGCTTTTTAAAATTGTTGCAACAGTTTATGAAAACTAGTTCAAGAATCGCTGCATCCTTGCTGCATGAGAACCACTTGGGTTAAAAATACTGATTCCTGGATCTTATCCCCATGATTCTAGGGTGGGCTTAGGAGTATCTGTTTTGAACAGACTTCCATTGTGATTCTGATAGCAGTGTTTAGGAAGAAGGGAGACCAGACCAGGGTTACAAGTGTACCTCAATCTCAACATCTAAGTGTTACGGTTAGGCTATTTTTGAGCTTAGTGGTGTACCTATCTAAAATGACATACCTAATGATTACTTTTATTTTTAGGAACAGCGCTTAAAGTTTTTGAAACAACAAGATCAGCGACAACAGCAACAAGTTGCTGAGCAGGAGAAGCTTAAAAGGCTAAAAGAAATAGCTGAGAATCAGGAAGCTAAGCTAAAAAAAGTGAGAGCACTTAAAGGCCACGTGGAACAGAAGAGACTAAGCAATGGGAAACTTGGTAAGTTGTTCCTCATAGATTTACTTTTTTCTATATCTTTTTGTCTGTTTTTTTTTTTGAGACAGTCTTACTATGTTGCCCAGGCTGGTCTTTTGAACCCTGGCCTCAAGTGATCCTCCCACCTCAGCCTCCTGAGTAGCTGGGGTTACAGGTGCAAGCCACCATGGTTGATCTGTAGATAACTTTAAAGGGAATCTTTTGAAAAAAATATTATTCACTGCAGTTTTGATGCCGCAGGTTCCTCTGAATTGGATTCAGCTGTTGAATGTTTTATACAGGATTTCTAAGATACCTTTGGAAAATGTAGTATTTTTTCCTCTCTTAACATTTTTTGACTGAGAGTTTGATGAAGGCAAGGATTTTTATTCATGTAATAGCTCCATCTATTACATACCATTTTAATCAGAATGTTAATGATTTAATAGACCCACGTAATCTTATAAAATTGAAAGTTCTAAAGAAATTTTCATTGTTTCTAAAATCTGGAGTTTAATAATATTTTTAATGCAAATTCCAATAACGATGCATTGAGATTGAAGCACAGAGGTTTAAAGATGTCTCTGCTGGTTTCAGTTGCTTCTGAAAGAAGTAGGTTGCTTCTAGGACATTCTGAAAAATTTTTCTGCTGTTTATTAGAAAGTTTATTGTAAAGCCTGTTGCCTGGGAAGTAGTCCATTCTTATTTTTCTTTTCAACTGTTGTTGTTATTCTCTCTCTCATCTAGTGGAGGAAATTGAACAGATGAATAGTTTGTTCCAGCAAAAACAGAGGGAGCTCGTCCTGGCTGTGTCAAAAGTAGAAGAACTGACCAGGCAGCTCGAGATGCTCAAGAACGGCAGGATTGACGGCCACCATGACAATCAGTCTGCGGTGGCTGAGCTTGATCGCCTCTATAAGGAGCTGCAGGTAGATCGTAGCTGTTTGCCAAATGCTGTACAACCTCCTTTCCAGAAACAGAGTTGCTCATATAAGTAGCAAGAGGTGCTAGATTTCAGTTGCCTTTCCTTAAAGAAAAGGCAGGTTGTAGGGGGAAGCTAAACTCCAGAGAATCCAGAGTAAACTTTATAGTACCCCAGACAGGAAATTTGAGACATTCCTCATAACCACAGCTGGTGGTCTTGCACAGGTGTCACTTAATTTTAAACCATGAGATGAGAAGTGTGGAGGGACCTCATATTTTTAGAAATTATGTAATAGTTAACCATGTGATTAACGTTTGAGACATTTTCTTCCTACTCCTTGGCTACCTTTTTTCCCCTCTCTTTTATTCAGCTAAGAAACAAATTGAATCAAGAGCAGAATGCCAAGCTACAACAACAGAGGGAGTGTTTGAATAAGCGTAATTCAGAAGTGGCAGTCATGGATAAGCGTGTTAATGAGCTGAGGGACCGGCTGTGGAAGAAGAAGGCAGCTCTACAGCAAAAAGAAAATCTACCAGTAAGTGGGCCGTTTTGTAATGGTTTGGGGGAGGAGGGAAAAGGATGACCAGCCCGGTGAGGTTACTCATAGGCACCTTCTTCAGAATCATTATTCAGTGTGCCGTCAGAAAACAGACGCTGTTTATGGATCCTCAAAAGACAATCCGCTGCTTTTTTACTTTTTAATGTTATTACCTGTGTAGCTCTGTTTGTCTTTCTAATACTTGTAATAAAGTGTGGGTGAGAGTTCATTGGGGAGTGTTTATTTTGGAATGTTTTTCTGTAGACTCTATGGCTAGATTCTGAAAGTCCTCATTTTAAAAAAGAAAATGTCACATCTTAGTTTCTAAGTCTGATCTCCTGAGGTGATTTTTAATACTGAAGGACCTGTGCTTCTTTCCTAAGGTTTCATCTGATGGAAATCTTCCCCAGCAAGCCGCGTCAGCCCCAAGCCGTGTGGCTGCAGTAGGTCCCTATATCCAGTCATCTACTATGCCTCGAATGCCCTCAAGGCCTGAATTGCTGGTGAAGCCAGCCCTGCCGGATGGTTCCTTGGTCATGCAGGCTTCAGAGGGGCCGATGAAAATACAGACGCTGCCCAACATGAGATCTGGGGCTGCTTCACAAACTAAAGGTAAAAAGTCCTGCAGAGCCTAGTTCTTTCCTATCCCCACTATTCTTTCTCCCAAGTTTGAGTTTTAAAAAAAATCTCTCTTTGTATTCATTATTCATGTTTGAATTCTAAAAATCCTTTTGTATTCTTTGCTAGTGTAATGGTAAGTTAAAAAAATTAAAATTGATACCATAGTTGTACAAGAATGATTTTTCTTAACCCTAAATAATACAATTCTATTCAGGAAATGAAATAAAATACAATATCTTTATAAAGCTGAAAATTGTTTTAAAAAGTTCCTTTTTGTTGCTAAGGAAATTTTGATCTGATATTAATAACTTGAGAACTTTTCTTTTTGTGTAAAAACATATGTAAGTGTTCGTGGTGTCATCTTTACAGAATGTGAGGTTCTGAATCTATTATGTTGATGAGTGGTGTTAAATATTCATATCTGCTTACATGTGAGAATTTGCTGATAATTTTTAGAATAACATTAAACGTATCGGGAGATTAAAAGTGAAAATAGCAGAAGCTCCTTGTGTTAGTGATCTTTGCATTCTGTATACTTCTCAGATACATGGAGAGGTGCAAACCAGTGTTTTGTAATGGGAGTAGAAAGTGTAGGGAGAATTGTAGGAAAATTGGGGGTAAAGCATCCTTTAATGACCTTACCATTCAGACCCCTGGACAGAAGAAGTAATAGCTAGTATTGTCTCTGTTCTCTAACCGTTATCATGTGCAAAAAAATAGCTGATTTTCAAATTATTTGTTATTTTCCCATGATTACTACTGTGAAACAACAGTACCATGCAGTCTGGATTTTATTGTGGAAAGAGTTATATTTGCTTTGTTTCTGTGAGGAAAAATGAAAGCGGTGGCTTTTGAAATTTAAGTATCTGTGTAGAAAAAACCTGAATATGCTGATTTGTGAAAGACTGCAGTTGAAGTCCTAGAGTAAGGGTCCACATATTTACTGTTGTGCATGTGTCACTTAAAATACCATTTATAAAATACACCTTAGACCCTTAGGTCTCTTGAATTGGAAATTATTTTCTGGGTGTGATGGTGATGTTTTCTAATACAATGAAGAATAATGTGTCTTTACTGGTTTAAGCAGACTTGCTGTGACTACTTTTAAATTGCTTGAGTAAAGTACTAAATTAGAATATAAAATATAAAATATAATACAGTATTTTCTAAGTAAATTTATTGGGGTTGTTGTGAGTCTGGAATTTAAAGATGTTTTTAGAGATTGAAAGTCTTAGTAGTAAAAATCATTAAAAATATCTTTAGAATGCTGAGTTATTTGTAGCTGCTTTTCTGTATTTTAGGCTCTAAAATCCATCCAGCTGGCCCTGATTGGAGTCCTTCAAATGCAGATCTTTTCCCGAGCCAAGGCTCTGCTTCTGCACCTCAAAGCACTGGGAATGCTCTGGATCAAGGTGAGATTTATTTGTGCTACTCCTGGACATTAAATTTTGGTCATCTAAAAGGTGCTCTGTATTCCTTTTAGATAGTTCATTTTCTTTCCTGTCCTTGTCCTTGTCCCTTCCTGTCCTTGTCCCTTTCCTTTCCTTTCCTTTCCTTTCCTGTCCTGTCCTGTCCTGTCCTGTCCTGTCCTGTCCTTTTTGTTTTGTTTTTTTTAGAGACAGGGTCTCACTGTGTCACCCAGGCTGGAGTGCAGTGGTGTGCTCATGGCTCACTGGTGCAGCCTCCACCTCCTGGGCTCAAGTGATCCTCCTACCTCAGCCTCCCTAGTAGCTGGTACTACAGGTGTGTGCACCATGCCTGGCTAATTTCTCTGTTTTTTGTAGAGATGGAGTTTCACCATGTTGCCCAGACTGGACTTCTGGGCTCAAGTGAACTACCTGCTTCCACTTCCCAAAGTGCTTGGATTACAGGCGTGAGCCACTGCACCCGGCTAATAGTTCATTTTCTAGTGTGTTAACACAAGGGACAATATTTAACAGTATTTAATTTATTTCCAGAACACCTTAATTTAGTGGGAGAACTCAGGTGCGATCATTATAGTGCTTGGGTTATCCTTTTATTAATTTAATTAAAAAATAGGAATGTGCTTTGTGGACACAGATTTTCAGGGAGATTTAGGAGAGAGAAACTTACGAGTGAATGAGATATATTATTCCAAACAGTTTGAATGTCATTGTGATTTTTTGGTCTTTAGTTGATGATGGAGAGGTTCCACTGAGGGAGAAAGAGAAGAAGGTGCGTCCGTTCTCAATGTTTGATGCAGTAGACCAGTCCACTGCCCCACCTTCCTTTGGTACTCTGAGGAAGAACCAGAGCAGTGAAGATATCTTGCGGGATGCTCAGGTACCTACAAATATCCGGGTTTTTACAATTTAATAGTAATTCTATAATGTAGTGTTTAGAAGGGATAAAGTATTATGTGAGGGAGAGCAGAAGAAACAGGATGTACGTAGGAGATTAGAAAATACATTAGCATTCTGTTATTTTAATTTCTCTTGCGTGAGTCTGTGCTCTCACACCTGGTGGGAGAATGACTGACGTGCTTGTTTTGGGTCGTATTTCGTGTGATTCTCTAAAAAGTATAAGTGCATCAAAGAACACTGTATTTGTATTATTAAAATATGTTATTTCTTCAGAATTACAAAATGATTGTGTGGTGAATTTTCTGTAACTGTTGCAGTCTTAATCGTTGATAACCAGGTTATGTGTGAGTGCTCCAAGTTAGGTGTGTTTTATTACAGTTGTCTAGATTGCATGAAATTCCAGTGAACAAGAATGGTTTCCCATTATTGATGCCATCTGAGTATGAAAGATGACAGCAAAAGTTTTCAAGTGGGCACTTAAATGTATTAAAATTGCCCAGACAGGAAGTGGAAACAAGGTGGAAGTCATAAAGGGGAGAGATTGTATTGCATTTATGAAGTTCATTATTAAATGTGAGTAAATATAGAGATTTAAAACTAGTTGCCAGGCGCGGTGGCTCACGCTTGTAATCCCAGCACTTTGGGAGGCCGAGGCAGGTGGATCACCTGAGGTCGGGAGTTCAAGACCAGCCTGACCAACATGGAGAAACCCCGTCTCTACTAAAAATACAAAATTAGCCGGGGTGGTGGCACATGCCTGTAATCCCAGCTAGTCGGGAGGCTGAGGCAGGAGAATCGCTTGAACCCGGGAGGCGGAGGTTGCGGTGAGCCAAGATCGCGCCATTGCACTCCAGCCTGGGCAGAAAGAGTGAAACTCTGTCTCAAAAAAAACACAAAAAAACAAAAAAAAAAACTAGTTAACAGCCAGGCGTGGTGGCCCACACCTGTAGTCCCAGCACTTTGGGAAGCTGAGGTGGGAGGAGGATCACTTGAGACTAGGAGTTCGAGACCAGCCTGAGCAACAAAATGAGACCCTGTCTATACATAAATAAAAGAAATAAATATATAAAAACAAAAACTAACAATTAAAAAATATGAGTTTTTATATATATATTTTATTTTCCGAGATGGAGTCTCGCTCTGTCGCCCAGGCTGGAGTGTAGTGACGCAATCTTGGCTCACTGCAACCTCCACCTCCTGGATTCAAGTGATTCTTCTGCCTCAGCCTCCCAAGTAGCTGGGACTACAGGCGCCCACCACTATACCTGGCTGATTTTTGTATTTTTTTTTAGTAGAGATGGGGTTTCACCATATTGGCCAGGCTGGTCTCGAACTCCTGACCTCATGATCCGCCTGCCTCAGCCTCCCAAAGTGCTGGTATTACAGGCATGAGCCATTGCACCGTGCCAGAGCTAATATTTTTATAGTGTATACTTACATTTGTGAAATTAGGTTATCTAGAACATCCTGTGTACCCAGTTGTATAGTATTTTAACTGGCTTTTTGTGTGTGTGTTATAGGCTGCAAATAAAAATGTGGCTAAAGTACCACCTCCTGTTCCTACAAAACCAAAACAGATTAATTTGCCTTATTTTGGACAAACTAATCAGCCACCTTCAGATGTTAAGCCAGATGGAAGTTCTCAGCAGTTGTCAACAGTTGTTCCGTCCATGGGAACTAAACCAAAACCATCAGGGCAGCAGCCGAGAGTGCTGCTGTCTCCCAGCATACCTTCAGTTGGCCAAGACCAGACCCTTTCTCCAGGTTCTAAGCAAGAAAGTCCACCTGCTGCTGCTGTCCGGCCCTTTACTCCCCAGCCTTCCAAAGACACCTTACTTCCACCCTTCAGAAAACCCCAGACCGTGGCAGCAAGTTCAATATATTCCATGTATACGCAGCAGCAGGCTCCAGGAAAAAACTTCCAGCAGGCTGTGCAGAGCGCGTTGACCAAGACTCATACCAGAGGGCCACACTTTTCAAGTGGTAAGGTTCTTCACGTTCATAGGTGACGTGCTTAAGTTCTACACCAGAGCTGCCATCTCTCAGCAGACCGCAAAATAATCCCTATTTTGACTGATGCTAAGGGTTTTTAACTGTGGCTTCTGTTCTTTACTGGGAGTTTAAAAGAGTGCTTGCTAAATGTCTACTCCTACAGTAGTAGGCACGAAAGATAATAGATGAATAAAGTGTGGTCTCAAGTCTGGAGGGGCTTATTGGTGAGTGGGAACCAAATATACATGGGTCATTACAGTGCACAAGGAAGCTGTGTGTCTTCACTGTATGTTGACCAGATGTTCTTGTCACATAGAGGACTGGATCACTGCCCGTCTGTGTGTGTGTGTGCGTGTGTGCGTGTGTATGTGTGTATATATACACATATGTGTGTGTGTGTATGTGTATAGGTATATACATGTGTATATATACATATATACACATATATAAACATACATAGACATGTATATATAGATATATATACACGCATCATACACATATTTGTGTGTGTCTGTATAATGTGTGTCTGTGTCTATATGTCTTTATATATATTATTATTATTAAAAATATTCTCTACTGTGACTGGGCTCAATGGCTCACGCCTGTAATCCCAGCACTTTGGGAGGCCAAGGTGGGCAGGTCTCCTGAGGTTGGGAGTTTGAGACCAGCCTGACCAACATGGAGAAACCCCGTCTCTACTAAAAATACAAAATTAGCTGGGCATGATGGCACATGCCTGTAATCCCAGCTACTCAGGAGGTTGAGGCAGGAGAATCGTTTGAACCTGGGAGGTGGAGGTTGCAGTGAGCCGAGATGGTGCCATTGCACTCCAGCCTGGGCAACAAGAGCGAAACTCCGTCTAAAAAAGAGAAAACATGCATGTATTCTCTACTGTATTTTAGAGTCATTGTAATGAGGACATAGCCACTAGCTAAATGTAAAAACATAAGGTTAGTTCGTATTAAACATACACAGTTTGGAAATTTGTTGGATTCTTTCTAAATTATTACTTCATAGGACTAGAATAAAACTATGTCTTAATTGAATGAAAATAGCTTTGTAGTCATGAAATAACAATGTAATTGTGACCTAAGATGTCATAATTAAAGTTAGACAGCAAAGAATCAGTATATATGCTACCTGTTACTCTTTTCATGGGTCTTTGGTGAAAATGGAATAATTTGGGAATTAGATAATTTTAATATAATCAGAATGTTAACAGGGAATATCTTTGGTAACTATAAGTGGTTCTTAATAATTTTGTAAGCCAAATAGAAGTTCTCAACGTTGATTCACTTTTAAAAAGTGAAAGATGTTTAGTTTTAATCTGGACACATGAGAGGATTATCTGTTTTCATTGGTTCTAAATGTTTTTCACATTTTGTTATTTTAAATTTGGATGCTACAGTCAGTGATTTTTTTTTTTTTTTTTGAGACAAGAGTCTTGCTCTGTTGCCCAGGCTGGACTGCAGTGGCGTGATCTCAGCTCACTGCAAGCTCCAGCTCCCGGATTCATGCCGTTCTCCTGCCTCAGTCTCCTGCCACAGCCTCCCAAGTAACTGGGACTATAGGCGCTTGCCACCGCGCCTGGCTAATTTTTTGTATTTTTAGTAGAGACAGGGTTTCACTGTGTTAGCCATGATGGTCTGGATCTCCCGACCTCGTGATCCGCCCGCCTCGGCCTCCCAAAGTGCTGGGATTACAGGCCTGAGCCTCCACTCCCGGCCACAGACAGTGATTTCTTAAAATTGACAACATTTTCTTATTGTTTCATGAGGTATGGTGCATGTTACACTCAGTGGGGATTTTGATTCTGTAATAAGTTTATTATGCAAAGATGGGTTCCCTGCTTTGTAATTTGTTATTTTTAAAAATTAATTATATTTGAAGGGGATTATGTAGTAACAACTATGAAATTAAAAGAGGCTTTAGTTATTGTTAGCTGTTTCTGTTTCTTGCCAGTTTTGTTTAATTAATGCTAATCAGGACTTTTTTTTTTCCTTTTCCAATTAGTATATGGTAAGCCTGTAATTGCTGCTGCCCAGAATCAACAGCAGCACCCAGAGAACATTTATTCCAATAGCCAGGGCAAGCCTGGCAGTCCAGAACCTGAAACAGAGCCTGTTTCTTCAGTTCAGGAGAACCATGAAAACGAAAGAATTCCTCGGCCACTCAGCCCAACTAAATTACTGCCTTTTTTATCTAATCCTTACCGAAACCAGAGTGATGCTGACCTAGAAGCCCTACGAAAGAAATTATCTAATGCACCAAGGCCACTAAAGAAACGTAGTTCTATTACAGAGCCAGAAGGTCCTAATGGGCCAAATATTCAGAAGCTTTTGTATCAGAGGACCACCATAGCGGCCATGGAGACCATCTCTGTCCCATCATACCCATCCAAGTCAGCTTCTGTGACTGCCAGCTCAGAAAGCCCAGTAGAAATCCAGAATCCATATTTACATGTGGAGCCTGAGAAGGAAGTGGTCTCTCTGGTTCCTGAGTCATTGTCCCCAGAGGATGTGGGGAGTGCCAGTACAGAGAACAGTGACATGCCAGTTCCTTCTCCTGGCCTTGATTATGAGCCTGAGGGAGTCCCAGACAACAGCCCAAATCTCCAGAAAAACCCGGAAGAACCAAATCCAGAGTCCCCCCATCTGCTTGATGTGTATCTGGAGGAGTACCCTCCATACCCACCCCCACCATACCCATCCGGGGAGCCTGAAGGGCCAGGAGAAGACTCAGTGAGCATGCGCCCGCCTGAAATCACCGGGCAGGTCTCTCTGCCTCCTGTAAGTAATGTGCTATCTCATGGCCTTTTCTGGAGTCCTTTACTTGGTTATGGTCTTCTTGGTGGTCACATTCTTCTTCCCAGTTTGCATTTTTATTTTACGATTCCCTTGGCACAGAGTGGATCTTATAAATGTTTTCATAATGCATTTTATTCAATATAAAGAACAATTTTCTGTTTTAGAGAGAACCCATTTATTTGTGAAAGAAACAGAGTTTTGTTCCTACCCCTGTAAACACTGCATTTGCTGTTTCTTCTCTAGCTGATGTTACATATTAGGGAAGCAGCACTCGACCGGGACTCAAAAGACCTGGGTTTGAAACTTTTGATTACTAGCTTGGCTGTGTGAAATCAGGCAGATGGTGTAACTTCTCTCTTGGTGATGTCAATCTTCTTTAAAGTTTTCTAGCGGTGAAATTTTAAAAAATGAAATGTTAGGTGAAACCTCAAACTTACAACAGTGGTAAAATTGGAAGGGCTCTGGATGAAGTGAGGGCAGGGAGGGGTAACTGGGCTGAGGGACCCCTCTTCAGCCTCTTCTTCCCCTTCAACGAAGTCTGAAAATCTCTGGCGACCATGGTGATCCCTAAGATTTCTTTGTACTTTAACATACGAAAGTTATTCTAAAATTTTGTGTGTTTTGACTTGAGTGCACCTTCCTCACTCCTTCCAAATGGTAAGCTTTTGTTTGAAATTTAAGCTTCAGTTCTCTCACTTTGAAATAGGTGAGAGAAAATAAAAATCCCAGAATGTCTGAATGAAGTATGCTTTTTCATAGTTTAATTTGAAGCCACTTTGCTTCAGTAAGCACGGAAGGAAGTAGGATGCTGAACTATGAGTTTAAAACCTGGTCAAAAGCAAAATAACATTAAAAGAATTTTTTGTAAATGTACTTTGCGTTTGATTCCTTATTATCTTTTAGATATGATAGTATTCAAAGATAATGATTGTCCAGAGTTATTTTTAACAATTGGCTACAGTAAATGTTTGCTTAAAACTTTTATGTACTAAACATTTGAAGCTAGAAAAAAAAGTTTTAAAATAGAGGTTAACAGTTTTTAAATAACTCTGTGGCTCCTAAGTTCTAAGGCTTGATTCTCTTTGAGTTTTAAACATAAGAAAAGAAGGAAGTTTTATGCCACATTGACCAAAACTAATCCACGTTACAGCCACTTGTTATTTTCTGGCCTTTTTGTTGCTGTGTCAAAATAATCCACATTTTCAAGGAGAAAAAAGGAAAAATAGAATTGGTAAAAGTATCATACTTTCTTTTTTTTTTTTTTTTTTTGAGACGGAGTCTCGCTCTGTTGCCCAGGCTGGAGTGCAGTGGCGCAATCTTGGCTCACTGCAAGCTCTGCCTCCCGGGTTCACGCCATTCTCCCGCCTCCCGAGTAGCTGGGACTACAGGCTCCCGCCACCTCGCCCAGCTAGTTTTTTGTATTTTTTAGTGGAGACGGGGTTTCACCGTGCTAGTCAGGATGGTCTTGATCTCCTGACCTCGTGATCTGCCCGTCTCGGCCTCCCAAAGTGCTGGGATTACAGGTGTGAGCCACCGCGCCCGGCCTCATACTTTCTTTTTAATTAAGATTCTGCTGTTCTTTTCCTAGTAAAGTGTCTTACTTTTTTCTTCTCGTTTTAAGTAAAATAGAAGCAACTATCTCGTACATTCTTTAACAGTGGGATTGACAAGTGTCATTATACTGTACTGCTTATGATTTATATTAACCACAGTCAGATAACATTCAAAGAACAACATTTTAGCCATTGCACATTGTGAAGTATATTGTCACTTAATGTTTTTTAAAACTTGGTGATTTTCCACATCTGAGATAAAATGAAAGAAGCATGTGGAGTACATGTATCACACTTCACGACAGTAAATGTCTCTACTTTGTCGGGTGTGTTTAAGAGACCTGTTTTATACGATGTTGGATCTAGTCTTTAAAATTTTGCCTTTTTTTTTTAAGCCTGATTCATTAAAAGTTTAAGGTGGTAGGATTTCTCCTTGTTATACCTAAGACAGACTAACAATCTGTATTATTTACCTTAATTATATGTTTTCCCCTGAGGAGGCATTCTGGTGTGAAATGGTTAAGATGGCGGACTTTAAAGAAGTCAGCTTACCTGGATTTACGTCCCAGCTCTGCCATTTACTAGCTGTGTGCCTTGGTTTCCTTATCTGTAAACTAGGGACCATAGGGTTTTTGTGAGGGTTAATGAATAATCATTCAATATAGGTTAGCTGTTGTAGTTCTGAACTGTGCTGTTGCCCACTTTAAGAGAGTGGAGTTTGCTATGCTATATTAGGTAGGCAGTCTAAAGACCAGTCTTGGCTAATTCTGATACTTGACAGAAAGCTGGCCTATTTGCCACTTCTGATTATACTCTTAGTTTAGTTTATACTATAATGTATTACCCAAATGTAATTATGTTAGTTTTTTTAGAGTTATGTTCCTCCAACTTTGCTCCATGGTGTTTGTTCACTTTGTGAAAATTCATTACGCTGCATATTAGTTCTGTACACGTTTCTGAATAATGTTATACTTCAATAAAATGTGCCAAGTCTATGTTGTTAAAGTTCCTCTCACTAATGTAACTGAGAAGTCATTCCTTCCCATTTGCTGATGTTCTCTTGCTTAGACCAGGATCCTAAATTTTCCACCCATTTTCTTTGCAGGGTAAAAGGACAAACTTGCGTAAAACCGGCTCAGAGCGTATTGCTCATGGAATGAGGGTGAAATTCAACCCCCTTGCTTTACTGCTAGATTCGTCTTTGGAGGGAGAATTTGACCTTGTACAGAGAATTATTTATGAGGTATGATTATAATTAGTAAATTTCTAAATACGACCTTGTATTTTGTTTTAAAGCTCTAATTAGAAAGCTACTATAGAGAAATTGTATTTTAAAATTGTTTTCCTTTTAGGCATTGTGGGGTTGTGTTCAGGAACTCTTGGGCATGCTTTAGAATAGGCTATGCTATTTTAATTCTATGCTATAGAATTGTCATCATTTGGAAGTTCAGTTTTCACTTGGAGTCCTCTAGAGTACTTTTCTTTCTTAAGAGAGATCATGACTCCCCTTTGGAAATTGTTCATGTATAGATTTGTACTATACTGTATTAGGTTAGAGATGCGGTCTCTACTTTTAGAAGCCTACTATTTAAAATATTTTTAGTTGACCTTTTTTTTTTTTTGCTTTCCATAGCAAATGCAGCTTCTACTTAGAAACTAATTTGTGGTGAGAAGTTGGGAGGATAAATAAACAAAAATGACCATAAGGATATAGTTTCTCGGGCTTCTTTTTTTTTTTTTTTTTTTTAAAAAAACCTTTTTATAGTGACTGCCTACTTAATGTGGTTATTCTGTCTGTCTTATTTCTAGAATTGTTCTTGGTATAGTTTTCTTGGCTCCTTTAGGTTTTAATTATGATTTTTAAAAGTGTCACAAGAGTCTGTTTCTGTCCTCTTGACCCTAAAGTAGCCAGTTAGTAGTGACAGTTCAGGTGACAAGAAACTAGAGTTATGTTCACCCTTCTTATTGATATAGGTTGATGACCCAAGCCTGCCCAATGATGAAGGCATCACGGCTCTTCACAATGCTGTGTGTGCAGGCCACACAGAAATCGTGAAGTTCCTGGTACAGTTTGGTGTAAATGTAAATGCTGCTGATAGTGATGGATGGTAAGATTTTCCTTTAAACTCCAGTCAAACTTCAGTTGTGGGAATCGGTTTATAAGCAGTGTCATAGTGCTGTTGGAAGACAAAGAAGTATGTCAGTGTATGTCCTCGAGCTTGTAATCTAGCTGGAGAAATGTGGTATCTATTTTTGAGGAATTAACATGTGTTCATGTAACAGTCATCTCATTCCCGTCCTGGAAGTAGGTAGAGTTTTAACAAGTTTAGTAGTTAATGATAAAAATAAGTGTAACAAAGTAGTACGCAGTTAATTAGCATCCTTAAGCAAAGCTTAAGAGAGAAGTGCTGATTTAGGCAAGGTATCCCCAATCCCCTGAAATGGTTCACAGTCTTCAGTATATTAATGTCCATTCTATATCTCCAAGAGGGGATTATAACTTGCAACATATCCCATATATATTTGACCATGGAATCCGTTTGTCATGGAACCAGGGTGTACGTAAAACACAAGCAGTACTACAAGTGATGAGTATTGTTTGCAGGATAGGAGAAATGTTAGTCAACATTAAATAATAACAGTAAAGGTCCTAATAAGATCCTGTCACCCCCAAAACTAGCAGAATAGATAGCAAATTTTGTATTTTATTTGAAAAAATGTTTTAAGTTAGAATGTGTTACTTTTGTGGAAGAATACAATTTACTTTTTTCTTTATAGGATTTTAAAAAGTTGTAATCACACTGTATTTACTCCAGTATTTTAGTTTCACAACTTGTTTTTCTCATAATATGGAAAATAGTTACAATATAAAGTTCTCATGTATGCATATATAAATTGCATGCACAGATACATACATCTCAGCCTCATATTACTCTATCACATGACTGCATACTCATTGTGACAGTCTCCCTTTTATTAGACATTGAGATTGTTTTCCAATTTTTGTTTTAATGCTTGGAGAAGCACTTTGGTTACAATTTTTAAACATTTACATTTTAATGTGTGTCCACTGTGGAAAACATGCAAAATAGAAATAAGAGGAAAACAAAACCATCTGTATCCCCACAGTGTACAGGTAAACACCATTCATATTTTAATATATTTTCTTCAGGGTCTTTTTAAAAAAGTTATTTTTATTTATGTTTATAGAGACAAGGTCTTACTATGTTGCCCAGGTTGGTCTTGAACTCCTGGACTCAAGTGATCCTCCTGCCCCAGCCTTTCAAAGTGCTGGGTTTATAAGTATGAGCCACCGTACTTGGCCCAAGGTCTTTTTCATATGCTTTTCACAAATGTAGTTAAGCTCCTAACATATGTAATGTTTAAGCCTGTATTTTTAGTTTAACATTATAGCATAAACAAAACAAATTCTTACTGTGTCATAATGCCCTTTTTTTTTTTTTTTTTTTTTTTTTTTTTTTTTTTTTTTTTTTTTTTTTTTTTTTTTGCCTTGTTTTCCTAACGTTGGGCATTTATGTTGTATATAATTTTTCATTATTAAAGAGCATGCAATGAAACAATCTATAGTAATATTTGCCAAACTATTAGTAATAGTGTTCTGGCCAGGCATGGTGTCTAATACCTGTAATCCCAGCACTTTGGGATGCTGAAGCGGAAGATCACTTGAGCCCAGGAGTTTGAGATCGGCCTGGGCAACATAGAGAGACCCTGTCTCTACAAAAAATTTTTAAAAATTAGCTAGGTGTGCTGGTGTGTGCCTGTAGTCCCAGCTATTGGAGAGGCTGAGGTGGGAAGATTTCTGGAGCCTGGAGGTCAAGACTGCAGTGAGCTGAAATTGCATCACTGTACTCCAGTCTGGGTGACAGAGCAAGACCCCCCACAAAAAAAAAGAAAAAGTGATCTGGAACGGGGAATTAAAAAAATTTTTTTCTTTCTTTTTTTATTTTTTTGAGTCGGGGTCTTGTTCTGTCCCCCAGGCCGGAGTGCAGTGGCACCATCTTGGCTCAGTGTAACTTAGCCCTCTGGGCTGAAGTAGGCTGAAGCAATCCTCCCATCTCAGCCTCCCAAGTAGTTAGGACCACAGGTGTGTGCCACCACACCTGGCTATTTTTTTGTATTTTTAGTAGAGATGGAGTTTTGCTGTGTTGCACAGGCTGGTCTTGAACCCTTGAACTCAAGTGATCTGCCCTCCTTGGCCTTTCAGAGTGCCAGGATTACAGGAGTGAGTCACTGTGCCTGGCCAAAAAAATACATAAGTAAGTTTTTCTTTGAGACAGACTCTTGCTGTGTCACCCTGGAGTGCACTGGCATGATCTTGGCTCACTGCAACCTCCACCTCCTGTTCAGGTGATTCTCATGCCTCAGCCTCCCCAGTAGCTGGGATTACAGGTGTGTACCACCACGCCTGGCTAATTCTTGTATTTTTAGTAGAGTTGGGGTTTTACCATGTTGGCCAGGCTGGTCTCAAACTCCTGACCTCAGGTGACCTGCCTGCCTCGGCCTCCCAAAGTGCTGGGAGCCACTGTGCCTGGTCCGTTTTTTTTTTTCTTCAAGTCTATATACCCAAGGAGAATAAAGAGGAGAGGAAACAGTAGAGAAACATTAAATCTTATGTACTTCAGAGCCTGATTAACAGTTTCAAACTCACCTTCTGAGTTTGGGCAGTGGTACTGGTACTTGTTATACCTTTACTATTAGTCTAGGGTCGTTTATAATTTGTTATAAAACATTTGAGATGCTGGAGAAGGTTCTCTTTAATGGTATTAATTAATTGCTGCTGGCCAGTTACCTATAGTAGATTGAGATGTGTGTATTTTACAGTCACTTTTCTGGTCTCAATTGATTTGACAAATTTTTTCCATTAAAATTTATTTTAACTTGGGATTTAACAAATATAAAAGTAGTTCATATATGCAACTTAATTCCTTCAAAATTGGTAACAATAAATAGATATATTTAAAGGCCAGTGTTTTGAGTGAAGGTGTATAACTTAAATAACTTAAGGACTGTTAGACCTTCTACTCTGACAGAAAGAATTAGGCTGGGTGCTCCAGAACATAGAACTAAATCCATTTTAATATTGTTTTTCTTAAATGTTTATACAGATTTCATTTCTGTTTATCCACGTCCTTGATTCTTCTCACCCTTTGCCAAGCTCCCAGCCCCAGTGTGGTCCATGATTCTCTGAAATTTTCATTTGTGGCTGTAATTCTTTGATGGGTTCAATAATCTATGTTGAACTGGTTTTTAAAAAACTGTTTAAGAGGTTTTCAGAAGAAAGATTGGTAGATGAAAGACTCAACAACTTTCTTTCCAGATATCTTATCACAGCAGGTGTCATTCAGTTTAGGAAAACAGTTCTAGCCCTTGTGTCTTGCTTCACAGGACTCCATTACATTGTGCTGCCTCATGTAACAACGTCCAAGTGTGTAAGTTTTTGGTGGAGTCAGGAGCCGCTGTGTTTGCCATGACCTACAGTGACATGCAGACTGCTGCAGATAAGTGCGAGGAAATGGAGGAAGGCTACACTCAGTGCTCCCAGTTTCTTTATGGTATGTGACAAGTAGAACTAAATGTATTGATTACTGCATTCATTTATTCATATCTCCAGGGTGTAATTCAATAAGTATGTTTGTTTGGAAAAAATCTTGTATTATCCACAGTCTTGGACCTTGAAAATACAACAGCCTTGGTCACAGATAATACAGCTTCTGTTTGTATGCTTAGAAACAGCTATTGTCAGGGACTTCTTCAACTACAAAAGACAGTGCTGCAGCATCTGACCTAGTGGTGTTAATGACTTTACCATCAAAAGAGCCTCTATTAAGGCTTTAGTACTTATAGATTGATGGTGTATCCTTGCAAATAAGTAAACAGACCCCCCTCTCCAAACAACATGATCAAGAGAAGTGCGGGATCAGTTTAAGAACCCAAATGGTCCCAAGGTTTCCTAAAAATCAAACTTGTCATATAGTGAAATAAAAGCAACATATATTTTGGAGCTGTCTTTTATTTTTTTTCTCTTTTGTTTTCTTAATTTTGAGTTTATGGTTCTGATTGCTACCATCAGATCTGTACCTAGAGGAAAATGGACTTGAAGTTTTAGATGGATATATGTTGATTGGCGTTTGTATTTACAAGGAAATTTTTTTTTGTTTACAAGGCTTAGAAGTTGAGGTAAATTTTCCTCTTTAGTTGGGCTTAAGAGGAATTAAAGAAGGAGGGAAGACAGAGACAAATGAGGAGGTCCCAGAACTCCATACTGCTCAAGTTTTCAGTTAACTCCTTTCCCAGTTGATTGGAAGACCCCTAAGGGTAAAACAGACGCCTCTGCCCTCTGTGCTGAACACTTTTCCCTCTGTCTCTAGGCCTTTTTTCAGGCCCTAGTCAGAGAACCACAAACCTCAAATTCCCTTCTTCATCTCTCTCAGCTGGTAGTTTTTATTGTTGATATTTGTGATTATTTTATTTTATTTTATTTTTTTAGAGGCGAGGTCTTACTCTGTCACCCAGGCTGGAGTGCAGCAGCATGGTCATCTGTAGCCCCGAACTCCCAGGCTTAGGTGATCCTTCTGCCTCAGCCTTTCAAATAGCTGGGACCACAGGCATCTGCCACCACATCTGGCTGATTTTTTATTTTATTATTATTTATTTATTTTTGAGGTAGGGTTTTGCTGTGTCACCCAGGTTGGCGTGCAGTGGTGCAATCACAGCTCATTGCAACCTCAACTGCCAGGGCTCAGGTGATCCACCTCAGCCTCCAGAGTAACTGGGACTACAGGTGTGTGTACCACCACACCCAGCTAGTTTTTGTATTTTTAGTAGAGATGGGATTTTGCCATGTTGTTCAGGCTGGTCTCAAACTCCTGAGCTTAGGCAATCTGCCTGTCTTGGCCTCCCAAAGTGCTGGCATTACAGGTGTGAGCTACCATGCCTGACCTTTTAAATTTCTTTTGGAGATGGGGCCTCACTCTGTTGCCCAGGCTAGTCTCAAACTCCTGGCCTTACAGAATCCTCTTGTCTCAGCCTCCCAGAGCTGAGATTACAGGTGTGAGCCACATGCCCAGCCTTTTATGTTTTGTTTTGAACTCTGGACCATAGAATATTTTGATATAGTAACATATTTAAAAATTGTTATATATATAAGTATAAATTATATATATATATATATATATATATATGTATTTTGTTTTTGAGACAATCTCGCTCTGTTACTCAGGTTGGAATGCAGTGGTGTGATCATAGCTCCCTACAGCCCTGAACTCCTAGGCTCAAGCAGTCCTCCCACCTTGGCCTTCCAACATGCTGAAGTTATGGGCGTTAATGTGTTGGCCGGGTGCAGTGGCTCATGCCTGTAATCCCATTTCTTTGGGAGGCTGAGGCAGGTGGATCTCTTGAGGTCGGAAGTTTGAGGGACCAGCCTGGCCAACATGGTGAAACCCCATCTGTACTAAAAATACAAAAATTAGCCAGCTGTGGTGGTGGGCACCTGTAATCCCAGCTACTTGGGAGGCAGAGGCGGGAGAACTGTTTGAACCCGGAGGCCGCGGTTGCAGTGACCTGAGACCATACCATTGCACTCTAGCCTGGGCAACAAGAGTGAAACTTTGTCTCCAAAAAAAAAGCCAGGCGCGATGGCTCATGCCTGTAATCCCAGCACTTTGGGAGGCTGAGGTGGGAGATTGAGGTCAGGAGATTGAGACCATCCTGGCTAACACGGTGAAACCCCGTCTCTACTAAAAATACAAAAAATTAGCCTCTCTACTAAAAATACAAAAAATTAGCCGGGCATGGTGGCGGGTGCCTGTAGTCCCAGCTACTCTGGAGGCTAAACGGGAGAATGGTGTGAACCCGGGAGGAGGAACTTGCAGGGAGCTGAGATCGTGCCACTGCACTCCAGCCTGAGCGACAGAGCGAGACTCCGTCTCGGGGGGGGGAAAAATATATATATACACACACACACACACATATATAATGTGTTAATATATATTTTGCTGTATTAAATTTATTGACCATCTTGACCTATATTTAGATATGGAGAATGATTTTTTTAAACATTAGAGATATTTGGTCAGATTCTTAAAATTTATGAAGTATATCATAGATACCAGGATGTGCTGTTTAAGTAATGATAATAGATTACACACAGTGAGTAACTGTGTACCCAACTTAGGAAATAGAACATAACCACTATCTCTGACATCGTTTGGACTCCCCTCCCTGATGTGGCCCCTTGTTACGTCTGTAGTGACCACTGCTTTCACATTTAGCACTGCTTGTTGTGTAAAATAATTGCATCATTTGTATGTGAATCCTATAACTAATATTTTCAGTTTTGCTTGTTTTTGCCCTTTGTATAAAATCATACTGGTGATTCTGTGGCCTGCTGTTCTCATTCATCACTGTTTTTGAGATTCACTCGTGTTGCCTGTAGCTATAGTTTATTTTCACTGTACAATTTATCTTTTTATTCTACTTTCGAAGGACATGTGTGCTGTTTCCCTCCTTCCCTCCCTCCTTCTTTTCCTTCCACTGTAAACATCCTTGTGAACATTTTGGTACTTGTCTTCTGGTGTTTATCTACAAGTGGACTTGCCAGGTCACAGTGATACACATCTAGCAGAGGGTTCTTTTTACTCCACGTTCTCTTTAACTGTTGGTGGATTTGGAATGATACCTTGTTGTAGCTTTAGTTTGCATTTCCCAAGTTACCGGTAACATTGAGCATGTTTTTAGTCCCCTCAAAAAATTTTTTACAAAGTAATTTACAACTCTTAATCTGATGAATAGCAAAGTAATGAGAATTTTCCTCCATTCCTAATGATTATTGGAGGCTGGGTGCAGTAGCTCAAGCCTGTAATCCCAGCACTTTGGGAGGCTGAAGTGGGAGGATCTTCTGAGCCCAGGAGTTCTGGACCATCCTGGGCAAGACCCTGGTCCCTAATTTATTGCAAATTGGGACTTGAGCTGTTATTTTGAGTATACTAAAATATCCAGAATCTCCCCCGTCTTTCTTCATTCCCATCTCAGACACTGTGGCCATTTAAAAAACTCTGTGAAGTTATAGTTATATAAAGTTTGATTGCCATGTGAGTCTGTCATGCTTTGCATGTCATCTTTAAACAAGAAAAGTTGGAAATTGTCTCTTTAGATTGGCAGAGCCTTCTTTTAGAAAAGAACAATTTCTTGTTTCAGTTTTTCCCAGAGTGAGAGAAATATACTGTGTGCTATATCATTAGTTGATATAGGAATAATTTCATAATCAATAGTTTAGTGCTCACATAAGCTGAAAAAGCTATTCAAAAGCTAGCAAGTATTTTCCTGGTTTTGTAAAAATTATAAAAGTGAAAATAATAATTCTGAATTGTGGAGAACTTTATTACCTTAATTATTTTCCTTCTCCTCTGCTTTTTTCCTATTGCCTGCCAGTTGATGATTGTTATTTCTTACTAGCATTGCCCTTTAGGATAGGAAGGTGTAAGTGAAGAAGGGCAAAACTTAAATGTGTAGTTAAGTTGCAAATCTGTTGAAAGGTGGACTTCTGAGGATTTTTCCCTGCCTAGTTTGTGGATTTCAACATCTTTTAGAATTCTGATTCTTACTATATTAGGGTTGATTATATGAAGACTTTGATCCTGTCTAAAATGCCGTATTTTTGTATTCTAACGTATTCTATATATATTTTTTTCTTCTGTCTTTCCCCATTTGGAAATTCATAGAGACCATTGTGCTTCTGTTTTTTTCTCTGTCTGCTCTGAATTTTGAGTAAAGAATGAAGTAATGTTTCTAGAGTTCCTTAGTCATTACATTTGGGAGTAGACTGAAATTGGACAGGCATATCGTTCACTTTTTTAATATCCTAGATTTGAATTCTTTTTTTAGTTCCTAAGCTTGCAAAAGTTTTTGTACTCTGAGTAGCTCCTTTAAGAGATGCTTATAAAGTGCTAGGTTTTAGAGCTGTTTTAGAGATGATAGCATATAGTTATGTGTCCTTCTTATGTTCTCTATACATTGTTGCCTTCCATTGCACTCTATCCCCCACCTCAGGACATTCTATTGTATATTTAATGTAGTACTAACATTCCAGCCTGTGCCTTTTTCTTCCCATTTTGTTTCATATAGCTAAAAGTTACGGAGTGGTGTACTCCGAGTTGTATATTCTGTGCTTTATCTTACTGTCATCATTTTAGGAGTTCAGGAGAAGATGGGCATAATGAATAAAGGAGTCATTTATGCACTTTGGGATTATGAACCTCAGAATGATGATGAGCTGCCCATGAAAGAAGGAGACTGCATGACAATCATCCACAGGGAGGATGAAGATGAAATCGAATGGTGGTGGGCGCGCCTTAATGATAAGGAGGGATATGTTCCACGCAACTTGCTGGGAGTAAGTTATTCTGACGCTTACAGTGTTTTCCTGTGTGCCAGAGAGGGACCTTGTAAAACCGCTGTATGTTACGGATACAGTACACCCAACTGCCCTTTGTTAATAAGACATGGAATTTAAACATTTGATAGTCTTAGGCTTAAAGCCACATTTTCAGTGATTCTTATTATGATCAATAACATATGTTTGCCAGCCCTGGAGGTCAGGGGTCCTCCCTACATTTATGAACAGACTAAAGATAACTGGATAATATGATTGGAATTGAACCTGTGACATCTGAAATCAGTTTTTAATCTGTCTCAATCAGGATTTGCAAATCTGGTAGAGAGCTTCCAACAGGGCATTAAGGATAAGATTCTTTGTTTTTCTCTACTATTTGATTTATATTTCATAAAAAGCGAGAAAACAATGTCATGCCAGCACATATGTACCACTTCTATAGTGTAGTACAATGGGACTGCTGTCATCATGTAAAGATTCTCCTGGAGTATTTTCAGGGGAAAGCTGGCATATGGTCAGACAGAGGAGAGAAAGCGAGAATAACAGATTCCAGGGCTTTGCGTTAAGCTCTTCGTAGATTCAGCTGTTCTCTTATAGCAGTTTTGTGTGTACAAGGGGCATGAAGAATGTATGAAATAGTGAGAGAAATGATCAGGGTAATTGAGAGATTGAGATAAAAGTTTAAAGTGCTTGCACAATCTGCTCTTGGTGAGGAGGTAAGGAAAGGGTTGAGGAAAGGAAGAGCCAGTTGTGATACACAGAAGATGGTGTGTAGGTTGTGAGCACTGGCCTCCACATTGCTTCAACCCCATCTGCAGCACCTGCTATCTGGGTATCCAGGCTGCAGAAGGAACGTGGGGAGGGCTGGAGCATCCTGCCTCCTAAGATTGGTGTGAGGATAACTCAGAGGTCTAATAGAGAGCAAATGGTAGATGCTATTCTTGGTCTTTTCATCAAGTGTCAGACAGACATGGCCTCCACTCACATGGAGCCTTTACTCTGGCATCTAGGCTATGAACAGGATTCTGCGAGTGACCCACTGCCTAGGCATTACTTTCAATGGGATTCTTTGAAATGACTTCATTGTTGGAACCTGACTGCCTGGATTCTGACCAGCATCTCTCCCTGACTCTCCCTTCGCCATTGTTGTTTGTCTAACGTGCAGTGTAAATTACTTATACAATACCTTGACTGTTGCTGTCCTGACAGCAAAATTTATTATGAAAAAAACATTTCATAATAAGTTTTGAATACATGATTAGACAGTATTCATTTGGGTGATCATAATGTAACTTTAAAGAATAATGAAAGTGAAAAACAAATAAAATTAGGCTATGGAGCCCTTAGAAAAAGCTTTCAGGGGCCAGGCATAGTGGCTCACGCCTGTAATCCCAGCACTTTGGGAGGCTGAGGCAGGAGGATCACTTGAGGTCAGGAGTTTGAGACCAGCCTGGCCAACATGGTAAAACCCTGTCTCTACTAAAAATACTGTAATCCCAGCTACTCGGGAGGTTGAGGCAGGAAAATGGGTTGAGCATGGGAGGCAGAGGTTGTGGTGAGCCGAGATCCTGCCACTGCACTCCAGCCTGGGTGACGGAGTGGACCCTGTCTTAAAAAAAAAGCTTTCAGATTACCAGAGGAAAGTAGAAATATAAAGGTTGTTCTCTTTCGAGCACCCTCAGTTGCTTCTCCAGAGTCCCTAGCACTAGAGATGTACAGTCTCTTGCCTGCAGCCACTTTCCTTCTCTGATAAACATCAACAGTAAATAAGCCCTTTTGTTATCTGGGAGAGATTTTACCTTCTTAGAACTAGTTGCTTACTTGAGTCTTTTCTTTTTTTTAATTGGCAAAAATTGTATATATTTATGGTGTATAACAATTTGAAATATGTATACTTGTAGAATGGCTAAATCGAGCTAAATAATACATGCATCATCTCACAAGGTCATCTTTTTTTTGGTGAGAACATCTATTTTCTTAGTGATTTTCAAGTATATAATAATTATTAATTACAGTCACCAAGTTGTACAATAGATCTTTTGAATTATTTAAATTTTCTAACAAAGAGGTCCTGTGGTTAATGACATGGGAAGCGTGGGTCAAAGACTGAGTTCTGTCTCCTGTGTGTGGTGTTTAGAAGATTCTGAAATTAACAGACTGGACTGAAGATTTTCATTTTAGTCCTAAATTTAGATTTTCTTAGTACTTTGAAAATCTTTTCTTGTTAGAAGTATCCTCTACACAACTTTTTTGGTTTGTTTTCCTGATTTTTTTTTTTTTTAAAGGAAAGTGCATATTTGTTGTTAGGGCTCAGATAAAAGTCTAGAAAATTGTATTAGGTAAATGTCTTTTTTTCAGATAGAAAAATAATATTTTCTGTAACATGGATCCACCAGTTAGTGTTTTAGTTTTGACTGGAAGTCTGACTCTTTTTCTTTTTAAAATTATTTATTTATTATTTTGAAACTTTTTAATTGGGATGTAATTAAAGCCTATGATTCTACTTTCTTCGAGTAAACCTTTTTTTTCCTCTTCTTTTGTCAAGAGGGGCTGCTTTTGTTTGGTGTGTCAGTTGAATTTACCAGTTTGACTTGGTTCTGGCTCAGGCCTAGAGGCCTTGCAACCTTCACTAGGACTCACCTTTATAGCTCTTGTGGAAACACAAAACCACAGAGTTCTAAAGCAAAAAACTCCACCCAATCTTCCTTCAATTTGTAGACTTTTAATCTGTGGCATTTCATTTCTGACAGTCTGAAGTCCCATGACACAACGTCATGTCCATTGTGAATAAAGGTAAAGGAATTCAGTCTCTTTCTTCCTTCCTAATAGAAGCTGGAGCGTAGAGCATACAGCAGTTTACCTTCCTTGTTAGAGCCGATTTACAGCTCAACAAGCTGTGCAGATTGAGTTAATACCCAGAACTGTCATGGGTTTTTATATTGCTGCTTTGTAGAGTTGTCACAGTTGACGGACTCTTGTGATCTTTGAACGTCCTCTGCAGTCTAGCTGATGAGTACGTTGCTAAACGTAAAGCTCTAGGTGCCACACACACCACAAAGAGTGCTTTTCTCACTTTGATTTCCTTCCCGTGACATCTGTCCCGTAACCTCATTATTTCTTGAAATTTTGTTATATTCCCATACATCTGTTATAGTATGTAAATATTTTTTAAAACTCTCTTGCAGCTATACCCAAGAATTAAACCAAGACAAAGGAGCTTGGCCTGAAACTTCACACAGAATTTTAGTCAATGAAGAATTAATCTCTGTTTTTAAGAAGAAGTAATACGATTATTTTTGGCAAAAATTTCACAAGACTTATTTTAATGACAATGTAGCTTGAAAGCGATGAAGAATGTCTCTAGAAGAAAATGAAGGATTGAAGAATTTACCCTTAGAGGACATTTAGCATGATGAAATAAAGCATCTACGTCAGCAGGCCATACCGTGTTGGGGCAGAGGTGTCCCATGTAGCACTCGGAGAAGTATACAGTGACAATCCTGTTTTCTACAAGAATCCTGTCCAGTAAATAGGACCATTTATTGGGCAGTTGGGAAATCAGCTCTCTGTCCTGTTTAGTGAGTGTTTTCAGCACCTGCTTCTAAACCAGTCCTCCTGCCACCATCACATCGCCGTCTCTGATTGTACCAGGCACCAGCAGGCCGTTGCAGGGCTCACCTGAAGGCTCGAAGGCCCTGCACACTTGTATATTGTCATTGAGGAACTGTTAGTTGGTCGTCAGTGAACAGTAACTTTATTATATGAGTTCTTGTAGCATCTTAAGAATTATACATATGTTTGAAATATTGAAACTAAACTACAGTACCAGTAATTAGATGTAGAATCTTGTTTGTAGGCTGAATTTTAATCTGTATTTATTGTCTTTTGTATCTCAGAAATTAGCAACTTGCTAGACTTAATCGTAATATTTGTCAAGATCCTAGCTGACTTTAAAAACAGTTGTAATAAACTTTTTGATGCTAAGCTGTTTACTGGTTTTTGTTTTTGATGTCATAAATAGACTTTGTTTGATAGTCACAAGCCGTTAGGGTCTCTTACCCAGCTGAAAAAGAACAGACTGCTTAACATAAGTATATGTATTGTAATAAGAGTTTTTTTTTTTACCAGCCAAGTGATTCAATGTAAGTGGTTTTCAAAATGAAATACTGTAGAGATCATGGTGATAGAAGCCTACTTTACATTTTACCTAGAGCCTCTAATAGACTGTTTTAGTGTCCTCATTGATTTACGGGGTGAAAACTTATATAGGCAAAATCTCCACATCATTTTATTAATATGTTAATAAGTTTGTGAATTGTTTCCAAACCCATTTGCTTAGTGGAACTACTTTAGTAGAAGATACAAATGAAAAACCATGGTCACTCTTCCTTACACATTTTTATGAGTAGCTAAATTCTAGAAAGGAAAGTAAATGAAAGAACATACTGTAACTTTGAGAATACCACTTTTGAGAGTAATGGAGAAGGAGTGACAACAGGAACTAAACATCAGAAGACGTGTGGTAGGCAGAATTCTAAAGGTGCCCCGCACCCCATCCCTGTCTCCTGGTTACTCCTTGTATCACTAGGTGCAGTAAGTCCTTACTTAACATCATCATTAGGTTCTTGGAAACTGTGACTTTATTTATTTTTCTTTTTTTTTTTGGAGACAGGGTCTCACCATGCTGCCCAGGCTGGTCTCTGATGCCTGGCCTCCAGCGGTCCTCCTACCTTGGCTTCCCAAAGTGTTGGGATTACAGGTGTGAGCCACTGCACCTGGCCAAAACTCAAAGCGAAAAGGTATATAACAAAACCGTTTCTTTTTCTCATCAGTGTTCTAACAGTACAACATGAAGTGATGTTATTCGAGGACCTGCTGTTTCTTGTTGGTTTGTTTTACATCGTTTTGCTCAAATTTGCAGTTACCGAGAACCTATTCGTGATGCTAGGTTTTCACGACTTACTGTAACTTCTTTGAAGGACTTTTAAGATTTAATTAAGTTTACGAATCAGTCGACCTTAAAATAGGGTGTTTAGCCTAGATTGTCCTGGTGGGCCACTGTAATCACAAGATCCCTTCACAGCAGGAGAGGAAGGCAGGAGGGCTGAGGCAGGAGAGGAAGGCAGGAGGGCTGAGGCAGGAGGGTAGGTGGGGCGGGTGGGTGGGCAGTAAGACTTGGAGTGTGAAGACTTGACCTGCCGTTGTCGGCTTTAAAGATGAAGGGGGTCATGGAATTGGGGGTCAGGGAACATGGAAGCTGAGAAAGACCCCACCCCCGGCTGGCCCAGCCAGGAGATGAGGACTTCAGTCCTTATGGCCACATGGAACTGAACTCTGCCAACCTGAGTGGGCCTGGCTGGAAATGAATCCTCCCCAGGTCTCCAGAAGGAATGCATTAGTCCAATGAGACCAGCGTTGGACTTTTCATCTACAGAATTGTGAGATAATGGCTATTTTTTTAGGCCACTAAGTTTGTGTTAATATGTTAACTATAGGAAACAACATGGATTCTAGTCCTGGGCTGTTGTACTTACCCATTAAGTGACCTTGCCAAGGACACTTGACCTCCCTGAGCCTTGTTCCCTCATCTGTGGAGTTTAATGCCATTGCCTTGACATGCTTCCGAGTTGTTGAAGAAAACCTAAGTTCTGTGCATGAAGGTACTTGGCAAACTAAAGAATCACACAGATGTATGAAAAGAGAAGATGTGAAAAGTAGGAACTGTGATCCCAGTTTTGTATTCCTTAATCCTAAACTGAGAAGCTCATTGTTGTTAAGTCTTTCTGTTCTTTGTTTTATTATTAAAGTAAGTATCCTTATATCAAAGCTCGTTATAGAAATAGTACAGAAAAAGGTTATGAAGGAGGGAGGGAAAAAGACCACTCTAGAGGTACTATTCATACTTGGGCCTATTTCTTTGTAGTCTTACCTATGATTTTTTTTCTCTATATATAGTTGAGTGCTTATTGTTTAAGCAATTCTGCATTCTCCTGTATTATACTTGATATTGTATCATAAATATTAGCATGAATTTTTTTTTGTTTGAGCCAGAGTCTCACTCTCTCACCTAGGCTGGAGTGTAGTGGTGCGATGTCAGCTCACGGCAACCTCCACCTCCCAGGTTCAAGCGATTCTCACCTCCTGAGTAGCTGGGATTACAGGCCCGTACCACCACATCCGGCTAATTTTTGTATTTTTATTAGAGACCGGGTTTTGCCATGTTGGCCAGGCTGGTCTTGAACTCCTGACCTCAAGTAATTCACTTGCCTCAGCCTCCCAAAGTGCTGGGATTGCAGGAGTGAACCACCATGCCTGGCCTATTAACATGAATTTTAATGGCTTCCTAATATTCCATCATATCATTTATCTAATCATTTGTCTAATGTTGAACAATTCTTGTGTATTATAATTGATGCTATAGTCATGTTTTTATGGTCGCACAGTTTTTAGGTCTTTACAAAATAGAAGAGAATAAAGCCGGTGGGGAACAGACTGTGCTGAAGGGGAGAGTATGCAAACCAGCTGTGCATATTCGAACTGCAGTGGAGCCACTGGGGATGTGGGGAGTGTCACAGGAAAGGAGACCGAGTTAGCCAGAGAAGCAGACCTGAAGGAAACCAAAGGAATGTGGGTTCTCAGGAGAATCGTAAATGGTGTTAAAGGCAGCAGAAAGGTCCAGGGAGATAATGGCTGGTAGATGTTTATAGGGTTTGGCATTAGGAGGTAACTGGTGATCATAAAAAGCAGCAGCAAAGAGGTAGGTGACTAGACAGACTGTAGTGGGTGGAAAATGAATTGAGATCCAGTGTGGACCGCTTCTCCGGAAGCAGAAGTTCGGCTCTGGAGGAAGGAGAGGCCACAGCAGGGGAGGTAAGAATATTAAGTATATGAGAGGCCACAGCAGGGGAGGTAAGAATATTAAGTATACTTGAGGATGTGGTTGGCATAAGGGAAGAGCTGTGGAAAGAAAAAGGAGAGGGAAAGAGAAAAGAGGAGCTAATTGATAGAGGGCTGGCTGACTGATGGGCCTGAGACTGCAATTCAGAGCAGAGACCCGGGAGGGAAGTAGTGAGGGGTGGGGGGTGGGCGGTGAGTTTGTACAGGCTCAGGAAGTTGAGGTTTACTTTGCTTATCATCTATTTGCTTATCTATTTTTGCCCCCTGTAAAACAGGCATTAACAAACGTTATAACAGGTGGGAAAACTCAGGATACTTGGTAATCTCTATTCCCTTTTCTTTTCAGTCTTTTCTAAATTTGCTCTGATAAGCATATATCTTATTTATTTAATGTTATCTCAGAGACTAGGTCAGCCCCACAGATGAAAGTGCACCAGGAGACGCAGGGCCCCAGAACAGTAGTCTAGGTTTGGAATGGCTTCTGCAGATGGGAGGGGCCTCCTTTCTGCCCTACTGTGTACTAGTCTCTGGTGACCACTCTCTTCCTCAGAATCGAAAGCTGATCCCTCCTGCCCTTCACTCCACCCCCTCCCAGCCTGGACCCTGGGGTCCTGTGTTGGAACCACTTCAGTCCCCACCCTCCATTCCCTTGTCCCCTGATCCTTCAGCCACCCTTCCCTTGCCCACCTCCAATCTTCAGTCCAAACATCTCCCACCTCTATCCTGCCACCTGTGCAGCTGGACAGAGAAATTACCGATGCGAGGAGGTTGGGATTCCTGCACTCTCATGGCCACCAGCCTCCCCTTTTCCCTCAAAATCCACTTGGCAAGCAAGAGAACTTCAACGCATTTGAGCTGAGTTTGGGAAATCTATCATCTCACCTTGTTCAAGGAAATATTAGGATGGCATTTGCCTGTGTCAAGTCATCCTGAGGAAATGATTCCTCAAGAACCACCAGCACCAGACCAGTGACTTAATCTGCATGTTTTCTCAGCTCCCTTGCTTGTCCCTACCCCAGGGGGAGATGGCCAAGGTGAAATTGAGGTGGCAGGTTGAGCAGGGAACTTCCTGAGAGGCACATATTTCTCTGTGCTGCCTAACAGCAGATCAATAAGCAGTAGAAATTACAGCTTCCTTTACATTATCATCAGATTATCAGAGTTTCTGAATTGGATTTAAGAAAATTTTATAGTTCCACATTTTAATTATAGGCAAGATGTCTTTTCCTTTGAATACATGAATTTACAGAGGCAGCATACGTTGTTAAAGTAGAAACAAGCTATAATCATGTGTGCTCGTAAACCATCCTGTGGGGCTGACCTCCAGGAAGAAAAACATGGCGTGGTGTGATTGCATGGGGTAACCCTTTATTTTTATTTAACAGTACATTTGGAAGAAGATAAGGCAAAAAGGCAATATTTCTATAATGTTGCTAGCATTTTCCCAAGGTAAAGCCAGGAAACAAACTTGTGTCCTTTCTATAAGAACTTCTAAGCGATGTCCCCTCTAACTCCATGGGCAGACACTAGTGGTGGTGAAGTTCATGAAGTTTTGAGGTGGCAAACAGCTTATTTTGTCCTTTATCATAATTGGTTTGCAAATTGGATGCGTGGTTTGGCATACTGGTTCAGTTGATCAAGCGTGGAATCCCTTTGGTCTTTGTAAGACCTGATGTATAAGGCCGAATAGGGTCAAGAACTTGGGTTTAAGGAGAACGATTTACTATTACCAATCAATATTATATAAAACCTGTCTTTTATTTAACCCAAGCGACAGAGGTGAGTCTTCTCACCTGGACTCTCTAGATGCCTTGACAAGATTACTTCATGATATACTATGTTTCCCAGTTTGCTCACGGGCAATGGTATCTTGGACTTATTTGGTAGAATCAACAGCTGCATTTTAAACTTGAAGTTGCTTTAAATATTCCCTGCAAGGCCTCATGTCCTCTGAGAGTGACTCAATGTTTTTGCTCAGCTGTTAAATACCTCCCTGCATTTTTTTCCTGATTTAATATTGCTATGAACAGGAAAGTGTGTAAAAGTAAAAAGTGTGTACTATTTACAGATTTAAAGCTTTCTTTGAG